CAAATGTGGCCAATCCAACCTGCTCTGGAAACGCAGCCAGCAAACCCCACTGAGAATTAGAGGAGAGAGATTGAGACTCTTTGGGGATTACTTTATACCTATCAGTACTTATATACCTGTCATATATGCATAGACAGTCCTATTCAATAGCTACTCACTTTATTTTATTCAAAACAATTGTTGAAATCTTGTTCTTCTTGGCATTCCTCTAATAATTTTTACCTTTCTGGCAGCTTTTCCTGACATTTTTCCCTTCATTTCTTAATGAGATTTAAAGAATCCTGGAGGAGTTGAAAAGAAAAAGTAAAGCTCTTGCTGAACTCTAGTAACCCAGCCTGAAATGTGAATTGCCCATAAGCCTTTATTACTGAAAACCTGTCTCTCCACTTCTGCATGGACGAGTTCCCAAGGTCTAGGATCTTCAGGATCTTTAGAGCTGGAATTTCAACCCCATTTCTTCTCTCTCCCCATCAAGGAGCCACCCCAAACTTGGCTCTGGTAGGGCCTTTGTGTGGTAAGATGTTGGCAATAATAAACCTGCATATTCCATCTTTGTCTAGAAAATAGAAGGGGGGATCTCTTTTCCTTTTTTGATGGCTATTTGGAAATCTTAGGGTGGGAGGAGTTAGGCTTTTAGGACCCCAATTCTTAGACTGGTTTGGGAGAGGCTCAGAAATTCTTGGAACACCTCTGACTTCCCACAAATCATGGTTCATATTCTATCTAGGTCCCTACTATATATCCACACAAAAAAAGTATTGAAGATGGCAGGAATGAGGGAAGGAAATCTGTATACATCTATTATATTCCATCATTTTACATAAATTATCTCATTTAATCCCCCAGCATTCTTCCCAGCAGAAATTATTATTCCCATTTTACAGATGAGGAAACTGAAGCACAGAGTTGTGCAATAACTCAGGTAGGTTCATACATAAGTAAGTGGCAAGGGCTGGATTTGAACTGAGAGTCTTATTTTAAAGACCATCCTTTTATTAATAAAACTATAACTGCCTCCCCTGAGGTTCTTGCCATTCCTCTTTAGGGAGTGAAGAAGGAGGAAGTGGTTTAGACAAGACTTCTGGAAAACAGTAGTCAGTACATGATGAGATAAGCAGTCTGGAAGCCTAAGGGGGTGGGATGGGGAGGCGGTTACAGGGAGGCATGACAGGCAAACTACTGGTGTTGAAGACCAGATGTCAACACAGGCAAGGAATGGGGCTTGAGGCTAGGGTACCCAGCCAGACTTCTTGGCCCCTTGACCTTTTGCCTGAGGCATCATGGCAACAGTCATATGTACACATGACCTGATTCCTCCCCTCCCAATAAACAAAGCATCCATGAAGTTGTTTATGGCTTCCTAAATTAACTCCATTGCCAATATGGCCTAAATAATGAGTGTGTCTTCACTTACTCAACCCCAAATCTTTCCAGTGGTTTCTGGAAGCCTCTTTGGCCCCACCAGGCACAGAAAGCTCTGGAGTGCTGACCTGGTTTGCAGCATTTGGAGATGATCCCTTAACTTCAACAAATTCAATTGGTCAAGCTTCTGACAATAGGCACACAGGCATCTTAGGTCAGAGACTTTGCACAGAGCTGAACTCCATTCCTGGTTCTACTTTGTGTGGTTTGGGGACACTCATGAATTTCTCTGCACCCTCAGGTGACTCACCTGTTAAAAATGAGATAAGGACTTCCTTCTCCTCGGTTGTAGGGAAAATTCAAAGATATGTAAAATCAGCACTCAGTAGTGGTTAACTTTTGAGGCTATTGTTGAGCTGGGTTTTCTGATGTGCATTGGAGGTACAAAGCCAGATCCTACTCTCAAGAGGCTCTACATATGGCAGAAGAGATGTGCTCATAAACAGCATAATGAAATTCCAGAGTGAGAACTACATCAATAACATGTGGACAAGGTAAAGGGATAGAACCATAGAACCGCAAAGAGGAGAATGAGGTCAGCCCAGGTAGGGGTGGGGTGAGACAACTTCCTGGAGATCATGATCAAAGCCATGGGCGGATGCCCAACTTTGGTTAATCTGCAGCCACAACTTGGATGGCCAAGCTTTCATCAAAGGATGCCAGCTATTTGCTTCCTGGACTCCTTGCTCTTTAGACTTGCTTTGAAAGCAGAAGACTTTCTATTAAAGTCAAAGGGCTTCCATCAAGAGGAGTTTTGGATTCTGAAATAATCTGGTTCCAACCACCCTAAGTTAAAAGCAACACACATTTAAAAGCTGGTTAGGGTTCAGAAAATTGGAGAGGATGGTGAAGGAAGAATTTAAGTAGCTACAGTGCCTATGTGGGAGATGGCAGGTGGGAATTAACATTTTTGAGGACCTCGTATACACCATGCATGGCCATGTAATTATTACCTCATTTAATACTCACAAGCACCCTATGAAGGTTTTTCTATCCCTCTCTTACAGATGAGAAAACCAAGACTTGAAGTATTTAAGATGTGTGAGAATCTAAGAAGTTTGCGCAGCTAAGCAAGTAGTAGAATCAGTATTAAAACCCAAGTTTGTTTTTGTCCAAAGCACATGCCTGTGCCAGGCAATCTCCCAAACATCTATTTACACGTGACTCTTCTCCTTCCTGTTCCAAGAACCATGGTATTTATAAAATTGTTTATGGTTTTCTAATTTATTGCCAACTTGGCTCAAAGGGTGAGTGTTATTTTAAGCAGAAACATGAGAGGTGCCCTTGAATCTTTCAATATATCTGTCATAGATTGATTGTACTAATGACCCTAATAACTGGCCTCCTTGTAGCCAGAGTCTCTGTAATGTGACTTTGCAACTTATCCCATTAGAAGGTAGAATCTATTTCCCTTCCTTTAAATCTGGGCTGCTCTTGTGACTTCCTTTGGCCAACAGAACATGGTGGAATGATGGAAGCTAGTTCTGGGTCTTCACCTTGAGAAGGCTTGTGAGCATCTGCTGTCACTTGGAACCCTGCTAGCTAGGTCTGGACCAGCCAGCTGTGGGCATGTGAGAGACACATGGAAAGAGGCTCCAATCATCCCAGATGAAGCCATCTGGATCAGACAGCTTGTAGCAGACCTGTTTGTTGACCACACACACCTGTGTGAGTCAACTCAGCCCTGCCCAGAACAGCAGAAGCACCCAGTCAACTGGTGGACTCCTGAGAAATAAATAAATACATGTTTGCTGTTTTAAGCTACTAATTTTAAAGTGTTTTTTTAAATGCATCAGTAGTTAGTTGATGTAACCAAAAAGTACTTATATTTTTAATTAGAGGTCAATGAAGGGAAAACATTGATTCAGTTACTAGTCAGTACTACAATTGGGACTGACTGTTCTCTAGATCTGCTATAAGCTCTCATCTCAGAATCTCCCTTTATCATCATCTTAGGAATGCCCTTTACTTTGTTTTCTGAGACTTGTGCCTTCCCCTTTCTTGGTAACTCCCTTGTTTTGATGGAGTACATCCTTTGGGAGTTGCCTGAGAATGGGTGAATAGTTTTGGAGACTATGCATACCTAAAATGTCTTTATTCTATCCTTATACTTAATTTGTGGTTCAGCTAAGTTAGAATTAGAATTCTAGCTTGGAAACAACTCCCTCAGAATTTTGAAGGCACTGTTTCATAGTCTGCTATCTTCTAATGTGGCTGTTGAGAAGTCTGATTCTATTCTGATTCTTTTTTTGTCTTGTTTTGCTTTATTTAGGGTTTTATTTACTTATTTATTTCAGCAAATTTTAGGGATACAAATGTTTGGTCCCCTATATGATACCTAATTTTCCCTTCTAGAAGCTTATAGGATCATCCCTTTGCCCTAAGTATTAAGAATTTTTGAGATAATGTCCATTAGTGTTAAGTCTCTTTTCATCCATTGCACTAAGCACTCATTTGGCTCTTAGTCAAGATATTCATGTTCTCAAATTGGGGAGATTTTTCTTGATTTATTTCTTAGATGATTTATCCCTATTCATTTTCTTTGTGCAACTGAGCCACACGAAGCTGCCTGAGAGTCCTGAGTGTCTGATGGGGTTTGAGATGAGATATTCACTGTAGATTGCTTTGTTGGGGCATGTCCTGGGGGAACTACCATGCTAGTATCTGTAGGGTTTTCTCTCGGGCCTCTAAGATCCCCAGAAAGGCTGAGCTTCTGCCTGAAGGATATATGCCCGGCTCCCAGAATTCAGGAAGCCAAGTGGGTGCGAGAAGTCTAGGGAGTCTCAATATTCCTTAAGCATGGCTTCATGTTTTCTGTATGGAATTTTTAATGTCAACTGCGTACGTCATGCTGCCCTTTAACCAGAGACCCTCTATTTTGCCCTCTCCAGAGTATAAACTCCCAGACTTTTACTGAGATTGGGAAAGAACAGGACTCAGCTATATGGAGTAGGGAAGGGGACCTGGGGCTCTAACTGCTTCTTAAATAGGCTTTAAGCCTATTCTAATTTTAGCCTCATTTTCCCGCCACTTCCAGAGTAGCAAATAAGCCTTTTTTTTAGTGGTTCTGCCATGTCAGTATAGTGGCTTCTCGACTTTCACCACTGCTGGCTTCAGATTCAGTTTTTCCAGATTTGTTCAGTTTTACTAATTAGCCACTACTTTTCAGCTTCAAATTTGTGTTGCTGTTGTTTCTTCTACCAAGCTCTTCAACTCCATTGTTTTATTCCTTTTGGGGATATCTCTTCACTGTCTTTTTAAAGATTTAAATGAGGAAATGGAGGTGAGTTCAGGAGTAGTTCTTGGCTTTTAAAGAAATAACACTTCATAGTGTCTCATTTAGTTTGAAAATGTGGACCACACACCTTCTATGGAGAATTAAACTTCCTCCATAAGAAGACTCTCAAGTGATGGAAACCCACCGATTTTAACTTTTAGAAAAAAAAATGAGATGAGTGTGAGCTTCAGGTACCTCAGAAACCTTTGACTTTGTGATTCTAAATCACCCAGGCAGCCAGATAATCACAGTTCTGCCCCCTCAGCCTCCCGTCCCCTTAAATTAGAGACTCCTGAGTCCATTTCCTTTAGTCTTTTAATGTTAGCCTTTTAATATTTTCCAATAAGTGCTTCCAACTGAGCAACATACATATCATGCTTTCCTCATTATTATTGGTCCATCAATAAATATACAAAAACCAAGAAGGGTGCGCTCTGAAAAATCGAAGTAGCAAGAACAATGGTCATTGTACAGTACATGCATGAACAATGAGCTCTTCTTTGAAAACTTAACACAAATGATCTGCAAAAAGACATATCTACGACAGAAAGGTGAATGCACCATGTTATTCTTGTTCTTAAGTACATTTTACTCTTCCAGAGAATTCTACTGTTTCCTTCCTTCTACTCCTCTGCTGTAATAGGATTGAATGAATGTTGGCTATAAAAACAATTCTTGGTGTTATGGGTTTCCATGGAAAACTTTTTGAAAGGTTCTGCTAGAAAAATCCATTCTGCTAGGATGGAAATATGAATTTGAAGATGTCTTTTGCCTCATTTGATTTTTTTATTCAGAGCTAAATTTAAGAGAAGACTTCAGGAGACATAAAAGATTTACAATTGCAGGCAAAACTACATCTTAAGCTCTCAGGTTGCTTTGTAAAATAATTAAATTCTGGCCCCTTACTTTTATCAACAAGACCCAGTTTAATGAATTAGCCCAGATCACCTGACAAATAACTGGTAAGAATGTAGTCAAGTTGTGCTTCCAGAGTTATGGCCATTTTTGTCAAGGGGGTGAGCAGGCATCCCAGTCCAAGAACTTCTGGCCATATTTCAGGGTTATCACAAAGACTTGGACAGCTCTCCACTCACGGTGTCCACAGAAGGGAAGCTCTAGACCTACCTATCTTATTTCTACCTTGAGAACACAGAGGTATAGCCAAGTGGGAGACTACAACAATAATAAAAGGAAAAATGAGATTGAATTCCAAAATAAAGTTGAAAACAATCTCCTATTCTAGCCTATTTCTTGGGAATGTCTAGAAAGGGTGGGAAACCATCCCTAGCTGTGAGACTTGTGCGACTATCCATGGCCCCAAGCAGAATCTGGGGGACAGGTAGAACCTGGCACAGCCCTCTTGACTCTGGTCCCAGAGTGACTTGTTGCATTTGGGTTAAGGAGCCTGAGTGAGCCTGTTTGTGTCCGTGGCAGACCCAAGAAAGTTCTGGGAAAATAAGGAGCAGTTAACACTTGTGGCAGTAACAACACAGGGTGGTCTAATGTCTTCTCCTTTCAACTTGAAAAGAAAATATAAAGAAAACCAGACAGCTGAATATGGAACTGGCCAGTGATATTCACAGAGGAAGAGAAAGGAGGTTTCTCAAGATCATGGGGTAGGGGTGGAGGGAGGGAGGAGAGAGGATAGATGTGGAAAGCAAAGGTTGGGAATGAGTGCAGAAAGTTGGCATCTCCGCTTTAAAGACATCTATCCTTCAGATCAACTCTTTGTATAAAGCCAGCCCTGATTTAGGGTGCAGCTTTTCTTCTTCTTCTTTTTGCTTTGTGGTCTGAGAAACGTTGCCCATACGCCTGCAAGTTTAGGTAACAAGTGACCGTTTATGGGAGCCTAAGAAAGGGGGTCCCACTTTATAGGAACCCTTACTTTCATAGAGTCAATGACTTCTATTGCAAGTGGCCTTTGGAAGTTCCAGGACCAACAGGACATCCTGACTAGCGAATAAATGCCACAAAGAATGGCCAAGTGGGGGAAGATATGAGGTCAGAGGATAAAGCTATTATTCTCGTGTTTGGTCCTAAGCTTGCCTATCTGGTGATAAGAGTCCAATGGTGGGAAGCCCTGTTACCTTTGGAGGGACTTCCCAGGCACTTCACTCATCCTGAATAGCAACTACCTCAGGGACAGACAGAAGCTTGTTAAAGTATATCCACCTACAGCCATAACAGTAGTCAAACAAGAGCTATATTTCATCCTCCCTGCCACAAGCCATCCAATCGGTCGGCCACTGACCATGCTTTGTCATTTCTATTGGCTTCTCCTTTTATTATCACACATCAAAAGGCACTTCCGTTCCATTTATGCAAATCACTCATAGGGTTAGCATCTATGAAATGGGACCCCCCAAATGATAGGTCATGCAAACTTAGTGTGGCTATTCAAAGCCCTTCACGAGAGAGAAAAGGTGGCCATTAAACCACAAAAGTGGCTGAAGCTCCTTCACTCATGATTCTGACTCCGGGACAGGACAGAAAGACTTTGGACAGCTCAGAAATCAAACAGTGCTGCCTTCCTTGATCTCTTGTGAGATCTGGCTGAGTGCGTCTTAGTGGGGGCTGAGGGGCTCAGAGAGGAAGACTTTAAGGAGCATTCCTCTCATTCTCAGATCTTCCCTGGTGAGCTCTAGGGACCTAGACTTTGCTGGTTTTGAAACTGAAAGATCACAGCACAAAAGGTTAAGATGGAAGAAGTACAGATGTTTATTATGACCCAGTTTGAACCCCTTTATGCCTCTGACAAAGTAACTTTAAAAAAAATCATACTGATCAAAGGACCTCCAGGGTTTAATATCTCAAAAACACAGATAAATAGCTTACTACAGATAAATAGCTTCACCCTTTGGGTGTCTCCCAGAAGCATCTGAAAAATTTCCAGGAGGTCTGTAGAAGGGGATGTACACCCAGTACACCCCAATCCCCAAACCCACGGGAAAGCAATGCCCAGGGATTGGGCTGCTGAGCGGGCAATAAGGACCCAATCAATTTCCTCCCAGGGACCAATCCCTCTTAGCCCTGGGGAATGTCCTTAGCTGATGGCTGTTACCTGGGAGCAGGGCTGGGGAAGGTTGGGGATCAGGAATATGTATTTGTAGCTTTTGTTAGAAGCCATCCTTAGCACACTCAGGGGAGGAAAGGCCTCTAGGTGGGAACTGGAACAGTCGCTGATTATTAACTGGGCCCTCCTTTCAGAAAGCAATGCTGTTTTTATAAATTGGACCTGACCTTAAAAAACAAAACACAAAAAACAAAAAGGAATAGAAAATTTTATGCTAAAAAAAAAGATTCCCAATGAAACAATCAGTAGCACATTGCATCCATTAAGTGTCCCAGTTCCCTGTAAGATAGTTATGTCCCCGACTGTTGTTTCTTTTCAAGATAACGGGGTCAGCGTTACACCCCAATCTTCATGTCCACATTCTGCAGGTTCCGCGTCTCGTCAGCTGTCATAAACTGGTCTGGGGTCTCCGATGGCTCCTTGTTCACCAAATGCACCATTTCCTGAGACTTGCTGGCTTCCCCGTTGAGCCCGCTTGGCTTTCTGTCCTCCACAGCTCCATTGCCATTGTTGATCACCAGCTTTTTCTTCTGCCCGCACCTAGTAAGTTTTAGAAAACCGTATGAGAAAGGCGCAACGACCCAGTCATCATCATGATGGTCATCGCCCTTGTGGAGCATCATCATGATGAGCATCATCATGATCATGGCTGTGGTTTATGATGGTCTCAGTAGGTGCCAAGCACTCTGCTAGGTGCCTTCTTGACTTTATCTGAATGACTATTAACAACTAGCCCTTCTCCAAATTAGGTCCCTGTGCCAGGAGTAAAAGCATCATCTGGGAACTTGTGAGAAATGCAAATTGCTAGGCCCACCCCAGACCTATTGAATCAGAAAACTCTAAGGCTGGGGCCCAGGGTCTGTGGTTTAACAAGCCCTCAGGGGGCTTCTGATACACAGTCAAATTAGAGAATCCATACCCCGCAACTCCAGGAAGCCAGTGCTATTATTATTCCCCTGTTACAGATAAAGAAACCTTAAGGATCAGAAAATTCAGTAACTTGCTCCCCAAGTTACTGAGCAAGTAATAAAAGAGTCAGGATTCAAACCCTGCTCTGCCTGACTCCCAAGTTCTAGTTCTCCTTCCACCATACTGCGTAGCGGAAATGTTTGTCTCTTTTAATCCCTCTAGCAGCCTCTGCGAGCTGAGCTAAACCATCAACAGGATGATTGTAAATCATTCTGATCTGTGTATTCAAGAAAGTCCTGTTACTTCCTCTTCCAGTCAACACTTTGTTGGCCTTGCCAGTGTTATTATTACAAGTACCGAGAAGAATAAAACATTTTTCTAGAAGTATAAGGTCATATTGATGTTCCCCTAATGTTGGTTAACTTCCATATAATCCTGGCCTAGGAAGTTTAACAACATAGGACAAAGTGTTCACTGTTCCTTTAAGGTTTCTCAAACATTACTTAAAATTTAAATGCAGAAGAGGGTTTCTATGGAAGAGCATGACCTTGATCTTACTGTCCATTGCCTCACCCCGAACAGCCTGACGAAATGCTTCCTCTTTCCTGTAACACATCACTGCTATGTATATTGGTGTGAGATTATGCTTAACGGAAGCAAAGTTGCACAGCCTCACAACTATAAGCGAGATGGGGAGGGGAGAAGTGGCCTAACATTTATTTGACACCTCCTGAATGCCAGACACTCCACCAGTAATTTCCTATAATTCTTAGAATAATCCCACAAAGCAGCTACTATCCCCATTGTAGAGCGGTGGAAATTGAGGCCCAGAGAGGTTTCATAACTTGCTGGAGGTCACACAGGGAGTAATACTGACAGAGCCAATATTCAAATCCAGGCCTCTGTGACCCACAGCCTGGCTCTGCCTGGCTCTGCCCATGCTGCCTGCCGACCATCTGGAGATCTGGAAACGTATGAAGTCGGAATTGTTCCCTTTGCCGCTGGATATTTGGGAGCGGTACAGACAAAGCCTCTATTATTCATGATCATGGGCCATTCCTTGTAAAACTGCCAAGGCCATAAAATTTAATCTCTTGTTTGGGGAAATGGAAATTATACCTCCTCAACAAGAGGTAGATCTTGTCTCCTCTGGCGTGAGGCTTGATGGTGGGGGGAGGAGGACCTGTGAACCATGAAACAGATTCATGGAGGCTGGGCAAAGGGATGGAGACCACACAGACAGCAGAGCACATTGGTCAAGAGGAGGGCTTTGGGAGACCTGGTTTTGAGACCTCACTGCTGTGTGACCTGGGGCAACTCACATAACCTCTCTGAGCCTCAGTTTTGCATCTGTAACATCAGGCTATTAAGAGTAGCAATTATCACAGGATGGTGAAAAGCCCTTGAAACAAGGCCTGGCACTCAGTAAATGAGTCTATTATTGTCGTTGCTGCTCTTATGAACAATGTGGGGCAACAACACTAAGGCCTTGTGGATAATCACTTAGAACAGTATCTGGAACTCAGTAAGTGTTCAAGAAGTGCTGGCTGTAATTGTTAATATAACAGGATCCACAAGAAATCAATTTCACTTGTTTCTTCTGGCTACCTCCACCTGCCTTGTTATATTTACCAGGAAGACGACTTAAAAGGCTGAAGGCAGAATGCTCCTTGTATTATTTCACACTCTCAGGTGCCACCATGTGTTCTTTGGAGGAAAGTTGTCCAATTAAAGTAATTCCCACTTGCCTACCCAATGGGTAGTTAGTTGAGAGGTGGAATGAAATACTGTGGGCAAGTAATTTATGAGCATTAAAATATGTCTGTGCGTGGGCAGAGGGTGGAGATGAATGTTATTAACCTAAATGAAGCTGATTTTGAAAGGAGATAATATCTGACCTGCAGAGCATGGGAATGTCGTGCTTGGGCTTGGACTTCCCCCATTTCCCTTTGGATGTGTGTGTCTCTAGTAGCTGAGTCTTTCAGGAGGATAGGACCATTCTTATAAATAACCCAGTCTGATGTAGTGCTCCATGCATCTACTAAGACAAATTCTAATTGTTTCATTGTTCTTAGTTATAGGAATTCAAGAAGGAGCACTAGAGCTGAAGGTGCTCCGGAAATCGAGCCCAACCTCTTTCTTATGTAAACCAGACACTGAGTCCAAGTAGTCGAGGGTATTGTCTAAAGCCACCGCTAGTGATGGCACTACCACAATCACATCTTGGATTTTCTGACTCCAGAGATCAGAGATCCTCAGTGAACTGCATATTACCTTTGTCTTCTCTCCCCTTAAATCTCAGGTATTAGCTGAGCGTACGACAAGCACACAATGTGGAAAGAACCAGACTGGGACCTCACCAAAGAAAGTGGGCAGAGTGAGTGGGATTTAGAAACCAGGTAACATACATTTAGGACATAGTGGAATTTATCTTAAAAGACTTAGGCGGGTTACTTAACAACTGAGCTCATGTCTCTTCTATCTGGCAATCCTTACAGATATTTAGGAATTTATTTTGCATTGTTTTAGAGCAGTGCCGCCCAATACAGTAGCCAGCAGCCACATGTGGCTATTTAAATTTAAACAAATTAAAATTAAATAAAGTTAAAAATTCACTTCTGTTGAACTAGCCAGAGCTCGAGTGTTCTCTAGCCAGAAGTAGGTAGTGGTTATGTATTGGACATGTGCAGATATAAAACATTTCCATCATCATAGAAAATTCAGCTGGATAGCACAATTCTAGTCAGCAGGACGAGGTTGGGTGAGCGTAAATTACAGGGAGGTAGGCTGTAGCATACGAGAAAGAAGGCCCTTCTAATTCATGGAGATTTGTAGAGGGGACCTAACCAAGCAGAGTATGGGTGACACCCCGCTGGGGTTTAAAGAAAAGATGATTATTCCCATGAAAGTGAGGGCTAGTGAATGCCTCTTCTGCACAATCAGCACAGACACATTTTTAAACCATTCCTGTTTTGTGAAGCCTTCTCTGGTAAAGTCCTCCTATTTTTTTCTCCTGTTCAGACAAACCAGATAGATTCTCTAAGGCAAAGGATTCTTCTTCTCTTGGGCCTCATCCAACATCTATCAACCCAACTGACACCTGAAACAATTGTTTGCTCTCAAGGAAGGTGAATAAAGTATGGTTTCCTTCGGGAAGCCGTCATCCAGGACTCAGGTGACATGAAGAACAGCAAAGACAGCTGTTGTGAATGATGGCAGGGGTGGGAAAAGCTAAAGAAATAACAGAACCCCCTAAAATCAGCATCTTTAAGACGACACGACTCACAGATGGCTTCATCATGGGAGTCCTTCGTCAATCCTTATACGCCCACTTCAGTGACTAATGCTTTTCCACTTTTGTCGCTTAACCCTAATTCCTATAACAATGCCTGGCACAGAGAATGCTCCCGGTAAATATTAGCTGACTCGAATCCCACAGGCCAATACTGCCACTGAACCTCAAGATTCTTTTAGGAAACGGAAGGTACTCTTCTCGTGTTTTACTGCCCTTCCTCTTTGCTGTTGCCCGTAGTCTTAGGCGCCACTCGAAAGATGTTTGCTGAATACATGAATTCCTGTTGGAGGCCCCCTTTTCAATCAAACTTTCCTTGATGAAAACAGAATTCCCTATCTCTCTTCATTGTAACGCCCAAAGCAGCAAGGCCCCAGCCTTTTAAGAAGATTAGAAATGGGTTGTCAGCTTTAGAAACACAGCAAGGGGCCCATGCAGCCGTTAACCACCCGTTAGCTGCGTGGCAAATCTGTTTTCAATTATCAAATCAGGACATAGTAATTTATGGCGTCCACGCAGCTACTTTCCCGGTGAGACACTCGCCGTGCTTGGGTCCTGTGTGTCCCTGTTTGCCTGTTGCTAGGGCAACTGCCGGTCTTGGGAGGCGGGAGGGGACAGCAAGGAGGCCCCTTCTCTGCTGCAGACAAGAGCAGGAGTGACGGGGGAGCCACCCAGCCACAATGCATGGGCTCCAGCTGCTCTTGGGGACAGCTGAGATGCTTCTCCTAGGTCTCCCCCACATCGACAGCTCATGAGCCAACATTGCCATGGCGACATGTGCAAAGCTTAAGGATTGTGTATGTGAGCAAAAGTGGTGCATTCTAGGGCCTGCAACAAAAGGGCTGGTTCCAAACAATAGGAAATTCATATTTAATGGAGCAAAAGCAATCCAAGAAAAAATAAGGAAACTGAGGGGAAGTATAAAGACTCTTTGTAAGGACTCCCCCAAGTCACGTTATTTAAATTCAACTAAAAAAAAAAGATCTCTTTCCATTCAATCATAGGAGCCCTTTAGGAGGTCTTTTTAATTTTTTTTGCCCTAGTTTTTGTTCTTTATGTAATCAGCTATCATGACTGCTTTTTTTTTTTATTATGCCCTCAAACATACAGATAGCAGCACAGCTATTTGATTTCAACATAGCAGTTTTATTAACTTGTACCAGTGTAAAATGGCATTATCTGATTTTCTCAGATAATTAGAGAGGCCCCATGAGCTGCGCCTGGCATTGAAATTAGCTGTTCGATGCTTTCCAAAAGCCAACAAGAAAGAGCGTATAATTCCCATTATGCCTTTTTCCAACCTGCAGGCCCTTTTCTGTCCTGTGAGATAATCTAGGGTCAATAAAGGTGGCCCTGCTTGGAAGTAAGATTCTTTTACGTCATAAGAAGCAATCTCAAGGGATTCAAAAGGTTGAATGTTCCCATGCATATGCTTGGAGAAAAATCATGTATCTTTAAAGCATCATGAACAGGAATTTAGACTTACACTTTTGGAGTAGCCCTGTTAAATAAAGTTCATTTCCTCTGTTGCTAATTATTATTTTCCTTCATTTCACTGTGTTATTTCTGGAATCTGGTCATGGCTAAGCCAGATATGTGTGTGTGTGTGTGTGTGTGTGTGTGTGTGTGTGTGTGTGTGTGTGTGTATTACATAAATAAGCTCCAAAACAATAGGACTTGGTTGGGGTAGGGAGAGAGTGTGGCTTTTAAAGATATGAAAACAGCCCACATGCTGGTTCTAGGAGCTGACCATTTTCATTCAGACTTTCCTAAGGGGAAAAAAAAAAAAAAAAGCTCTTCATTGTTTCATAGGTCTGTTAGGAAGCTCTTCCTGGGCTATATAAGCTGAATCCTTTCAACTACAGCTTCCAAGAAATAGAAAATACCATCACTATGAAAACAAACAGCACACAGAAACACAAAACCAGTGCCTGCTTTGGGAAAGGGCTCTCAAAGGATCAATGGGCCTCAGATAGGTTACAGAGGATGACCAATCATTAAATCTTTATACAACATTTCGTGTGTTGTGAATGTGCTTGCTTTTTGTTTAATGAATGAATGAATGAATATATGCTTTTATATGCCTTCCTGGTGAGATATTTCATGACTTTATCAGATAGAGTCTCCATGAAGTTTAACTCTGAAAAAATTAAAAACCACAAGATTCAACCACTATTTAAAAGTGGTGACCCAAGCAATGAGAGGTGTCTCCATTCTCTAAATAAAGGGGCAGACAAGGGTTTCTTAAACTGTACCCTGTACACAAATTCCTGGAATCTTGTTAGAACGCAGACGCACATAGGAGGTCTGGGGTTGGGTCAAGATTCTGCATTTCTAAGAAGCTTCCAGGGTGCCCAGGCTGCTGGTTCCAGGGGCTACACTCTAGGCAGCAATATAAAGCCTGTGTTTAAATGATGCTCTTTCAAAGTTGAAATCCCTAAGGGACATCCCCTTACCTTCTTCGACTGTTGACAGCAATGCAAACTGCAAGGATCAAAGCCAGGGCCAACAGGGATGCCAAGATGATCAGCCATTCTGGTGTGAGTAAACCAAAAGACACTTATGAGCTTCAGGAACATGCTTTGTAAAAACAAAAATGCACTCTATAAACTGACCTGGTCCAAACAAGAACCACAGTCAGCACTGCAGAAGGGTCTGACCAGTAGATCCAGCCAATAGGCAGATAATTCTGGAAGAGTAATTTTGCTATAAGCGTTTGTCCAACAGGCTTCATGCTTTAATCTTTCATCACCAGTCAGGATTTTCAAGTTCCCCCAAGAGAAACATGTTTCCAAAAGTTGAAACTTGTAGATGCCTTTGGTGCAATATTATTAAGTAGATTAAAGAAAAGTATGTGTCCTTTGAAAGGAACATTCTTTTCCTATATAAGAACACGCAGCTTACATTTTATTAAGAAACAAAAATGGAAGCCACATTCTATTAATACTGTGTGGAGCAAAGGACACTCCAGGGGAGGGTGGAAGGAGTGAACTTGTGCACACTCACTGGAGGGTCATTTGGCAACACTTGATAATAGCCTTCAAAATATCCATGCCTTTCATCCAGACATTACGCTTCCAGGAATTTGGCTACAAAGATGTACAGTACCTCAGAATTGGCTATAAAGATGTTTATTACTTTGATATTTATAATAGTAAACGTTGGAAACAACCTAATATCCAAAAGTAAGGAATTGGTTAAATAAGTTAGGCCACGTGTATTATGTCTATCTATAATATATAAAAAAATATTTTATATATTTAATGACATGCAAACCTGTGGTCAACCAGTAGGGAATGTTTACTAAACAGCATGTATGAATCATATTTTGGTACATAAATTACATTGAAAAATGACATGAAGGACATATAATAAAATACAGTAACCACGGCATTTCTGGATGGTGAATAACAAATGATTTATATTTTCATCCTTTTGTCTAGTTGTATTTTCTAAAATATCTTCAGTAATTATGTATCACTTATGGACTAATAAAACATTATGCACATATTTTAAAATCAGGCTTTAATAAAATTAAAATATGACTTGACAACTCAAATAAATTCAGTTGCAAAGTGGGTTTATACATGGCTGCAATGAATCAGGGCTTGAGAAAGAAGAAGGGTGGCAAGTCATTCATCGTCCCTTTCTCTTTGGAAGTCTTGGTTTTCCTCTGATTTCCTGCTCGGCATTACCTTTGCCTCACCTCTACCTGGTTTAGAGTCAGGGGTGGGGAGGATGGCAGGAAGGTACCATTGCTGTCCCCACTTCCCGCCCCGCCCCACCCCTGCACACCCCGGCCCTGAGATGTCCCACACACACTCTCATGACAGCTGAGAATCCTGATGCCTGATGACAGCCAAGCCTTCCCGCTTCCCCTTCCCCTACCCCGGGGCAGCCCAACCCTCTTTCCATCTGCTCTGCCTTCACAGGCGCTAGGCAAGCTGCAGCAAAGCAGCAAGGCCACAACCCACTCTTCTCTTTCCCCAGGGGTGACTCACTCTGGAGACCCCCGAAGAAGGGAGAATTAGAAGGGTAATTTACAACCTTAGGAGAAGGCTTTTTGTTTTGTAATTTCCCTTTGCAAATGCTCAAATTTGACCCCAAGCCAAACAAAGATTTTACATCAAATGCCTCCAATCTTGACGCTCAGGAGAGCCAGGTGGCTCAGCTCCCTCACTGCACGTGTAATACTTTCTCGGAAAAGTTTCTTCTGTCTGGATCAGTAGACGGACCCTCGACAAAAAAACATGGTTTGGAGACCAGAAGATTGTTCTCACTCTACCAACACAAATGGCTCTTAAAGCTCCTCCCCGCGTCTGCAACGGGAGAGGAAAATTACATGCTTCACCCTGACCCCAGAGGTAAAGGGGAGAATGGATGGGGACAAGAAGGGCCTGGGTAGGACATGGAGGCCCCCCGACGATCACTCATTTGGGAAGGAAGCTTTAGAACCTAACACAGCACTGCTTTGGGACAGTTCTGAATATGAGCTTAGCCAGTCTAAGGGACCCAGGCAGAAAAGATTATTCCATCCTTTCCTACCAGGACTCTGCAGCACTCTCATCCATCCTTGAACTTGCAAAAAGGAGCAATCGGGTTCAAAAGTTGCACATTTGGGAGAATGTGCTTTCCAGTGGGTCTCTTCTCCCTTCCTGGGACATTCTGAGAAACCTGCCTTAAGCACCTTTTCTGCTTCACAGTTCGAAACTCACCTGGAATTTGAGGTCTCCTCATAGGACCTGAGGTTGTGTTTGCCCCACCTTCTTGGCTCCCACTTGAGTGTCCTAAGGGGAAAACAACAACATCTCTCAACCAAAGTTTGGAATGTGCAACTGTGAGTTCCTTATAGAGCAGCACAGAGACCCACTCGCCACCCTCTGAATCGCTGAGAAGCTATCATGGATTAAAGCCACAGGTGTTTATAAAGTGTTATATAAAAGATATTCCCCCGAAAAGTTCAATTTGATTAAGGCTAAGGTTTGAAATGCTAATCTATATCAAGGAACACGAGAATTCTCAGTAGGAGTGTTGTGCAGTGTTGAAGACTTTGGGCTGAGAGCTGGGCACCTCTGGATTCAATTCCTCCGTCTCTTGCCAGCCAGCCAGGTTTCCTGGGTCAACTCACCCTCTCCAAGTCTTGGTCTTTCTCACTCACAAGATGGTGATGGAAGTAGAATCCACTTCATTGTAAGTTTACAGAGGTTTAAAGAAGTTCACAGTAATGGCAGTTGTGTGTAGTTTTCTATTTTTAATTTAAGACGTTGCTACTCAAAGTATGGTCCCTGGACCAGCAACATAGACATCCCTTGGGAGACTGCTATGAATGCAGAATCTCAGGCCTCCTCCCACACCGACCAAATCAGAATATTCATTTTAACAAGTTCCCTAGGGAATTCGTGTGTTCCAGAAAGTCTAAAGTGAATCTGAAAGTGCCATCTAATATCATCACAGAAGCCAACATCAGCACTAAAAAATAAGGATTGGGGAGGGCAGCGGCTTTTCCTATGAAAAAAAACACCCTATTAGAGTCCCTGATAATATATTACTGAAACACACCTTGATAGAAGAATCAACATTTTCTACTGCTAAAAACAAAATAAGGAAATGAACAAAAAAAACCTCAAACCGGAAGGAAGGATCCCAAGTCAAAGGTTCCCTAAAACGACAGGGGCATCATGCTTTAAAAGAAACTTCTAAGACATCTTGTGAAAAGACTCCCCTAAATTAAAGCTTCATGGATTTTTAAAAATTCTTTTTCCATTACTTCCAAACAAAATTTGAAAATGTCTCACTAAAATGAACTTTTCCCCCCTAACTCATGGGAACCTACTGCAGAATCCTGAAGGTCACCAAGGAGGGGAGGGAGAAAAAGCCCAGGGTCATCTGTTTGGCTAATCCGTGAATGAAGATGGCGAAAGCTTTCCTGAGAGAGTCACACTTCAGACTGTGCACACTGAAATCTTGATTGCAGGGGTTGTCTGGGGGTAGGATGGCTCGTGGGTATGCAATTTGGTGTTTTCTTAGAACTCAAAAGAGAGCAAAACAAGTTCTTACCAGACGTCTGGCCATTTCAACATACCCCATCTCATTTTGACAGCAGCCTTTTATTTCCCAAGCCTCTAAAAGAGTCCAAGGCACTTTCCCTTCCCGCCTTCCCGTGTCCCTGGAGGTTGGCAGGTCTTCACCTGCACAAGTCATGGGACATTGGCCAACTAAACTGGAGATCTCTGGCCTTGAAAACCACCTAGGAGGTACAGTCACTCTCACTGGTCTCTTTTCTGACTCACAGCAGCCTTTGATATTTCAAAGAGAGGCCATTAGTGGATCATAATCTCTTTATTTTGATTTTCCAAAAAAAGTGCTCCCAGCAAGGAAAGATCTGGGTGTGTGTACAGCAAGATGAAACCTCCTGTTTGAACAATAGACACCTGCACAGGAGCCAAACAAAAGGGCCCAGCCCCCGCCCACCTGATTCTCACTTCAAGAAAAGCCCAAGAAGATGGACGGGAGACAGCAGGCCCTGCCTTGGGCCCCAGACGTCCACAAATCCAGCCAGGGTGGGACTGGCCACAGGGATGAGTTCCCCAAAGGGAAGGGGCACCTGATATTCCAGTTGGGAAATGAGATCCAATCTGAGACGTGTGCACAGAGACCATTCAGTGGCTTCAACAGTGAGAAAAGCAGGTCAGGATGAGCTTCTCAAACTTTAACGTGCATACAAACCCCCTGGGGACTCTAAGAGCCGGGGGTGTCTGGTTAAAATGCAGATGCTGATTCGGTGGGTCTGGCTTGGCCAGAGATTCTGCATTTCCAACAAGCTCCTAGGTGATGTCTGATGGTTCAAGAACCGCCTTTGGAGTAGCTAGGTTTTCCCTACCTCTTAGTGCTCCTACATAAAGGGTTATTCAGGAAGCCACCAGGCAAATAGCCATCTTCATACTTGCTTTATATGTGTAAACATTTAAGCCTGATGATGACCCTCACTCCAACTTGGGCATTAAAAAGGGAGGACAATAATGTATATGGATTAACTGGGTTGCATGGGGTCACCTGGATTTGTGATGCCCCAGGAGACCACAGTTAAGGCAGAACCTTTCAGTAGCCCCAGCATTAAAGGTCATTAGCAAATCTGCCTCATGTCAGACTTTTGCAGCCTGGAGTAATGTTTACAGGGGTGTGATCTGAGTCACAACAAACAGGAATCTGTTTATCAATGCATAACTGACTTGTCACTCATGACTGGCAGTGACTTGTGGTCATTATGGAATGCTTTATCCAGACTGTGATTATAAGAAGTGATAGGAGACCCCCAGACTTGTGGCTCCACTACACACTAGTTATGTCAACTCTGCCAAGCCACCCTCTCTGAGCCTAATCTGTACTGTGAGGATAATAATAGTACTTATGTATGTCACAGTGTTTGTAGGGTGACTGAATGAGTAAATATTAGATGAATTCTGTGAGCCTGCCGATGCTGACTATCTTTGACCTACAGTGATGGCAGTATCATATGGTCCAACCTACCACAGGTAAAGTATTTGGAACAACGCCTCTGGTACACAGTAGAAGATTCTCGATAAATTCTAGCTAATATATCACATGCTGGATTGTGCCAAATGTTTTACACGTATTCTATCATTTAGTCTTTAAAACGATGCCCTGTGACAATTATTATCATCCCAAGTTTATTAGTGAGAAAATTTTGTCTCAAACCCTTTAAGCATCTTGCTGAGATCAAACTCAGGCCATTTTTATTCCAAAATCCATGCTCTTAATCATTCTGCCATAATGCAATGTTAAGTTGGGACACTGCTTGAAGTCTTCCCAAGCCTTTCAGATAGGAGACTTTTCTCCAGATCAGCAGTTTTCCCAGTGTCGTCCCTGTCCCAGCAGAATCAGCTTTTGTATCAGGGAACTTATTGGACATGCAAATGCTCAGGCTCTACCTCAGACCTGCTGAATCCAAAATTTTAAGGGTGGAGCCCAGCAGTGTGATTTAATAAGCCTTCCCTGAATGTATGCTAAGAAAGTTTGAGAACCACTTCTCCAGAGGCACTGACTCATACCTCATTAATAATCATCAGGTTCAATGATTATGACAGTAAATGACTAAAGCGGTTCCACACTCACCAGCTGATTCAGATCCATGAGTGGTATGGCCGCCCCAGCCAGGGTCCATGGACGAGTCTCGGTCTCCTGTAATAAGTAATCGAGGAAGGTCAGGACTGTGCGTTTCCACGTACGCTGCCACCTGCATTTCCTTATGTTTGCGTTTTCATACAGCCCATCAAAAATTTACAGACTTTTAAAGGTAATTAAAAAATGATGGCAAAAGTGCCTTGATTGGGTCCATGATATTAATTACTGCCAGGCCAGGTATAGTTGCTGATGCCTGTAGTCCCAGCACTTTGGGAGGTCAAGGTGGGAGGATCCTTTGAGGCCAGGAGTTTGAGACCAGCATCAGCAACATGGTGAGACCCTGTCTCTACAAAAAAATAAAAATTTGCCAGGTGTGGTGGTGCACGCCTCTAGTCCCAGCTATTGGGAAGCTGAGGCAGGAGGATGGGTAAGGCCCAGGAGTTCAAGGCTGCAGTGAGCTGTGATGGTGCCACTGCATTCTGCATTCTAGCCTGAGTGACAGAGCAAGACCTGTCAAAAAAAAAAAAAAAAAAGAAAGGAAAAATTACTGCTCTGCTCTTTTCTCAATCCACTGAGGAGTAGGCTAGAGCTTTACTTAAGGAAACCAGATCAATAAGAAGGAAGTCCATAGGAAGTTTGGTAGAAATCCCAAACATGTGGCAAGGAACACTTTTAAAAAATATTATATCTTCACATATCTGAGGTTGAGACGTAAGGACCATATGAATTAGATTATGAGAAATATGATCCCTGGAAATGGGTATACTCTGGCCTAGGGCATGAGACATCTACAGAGATTTCTCTGAGGCAGGAAATTGGTCTGCAATAAAAAATTTTAGGATTGAATGGTGTAAAGATTCAAAGAGAAAAGTCAACTATTTATTTTGAGAAAAAAAGAGTTTGAAAATAAGTGAAAAAAATAATTGGTGAGATGATAGCTAATACGTAAACAATGTGTATCTGGGTATTAGAATAAGTTTAAAACACTATTTTTCAAAAGTTAAGTCTGTACTTTCAACACGAATAGTTAATATAATCCCATCTTCTCAAAATTCCATCACCAGAAGGCTTTAGATTGAGATAAACGCATGAATTGCTACCCATCTAAATCCACAGGTCAAATCTTGAAGCCAGCGTATGGAAACTCCCTCCCCTGCCCTAATTTTTCAAGAGTATACTGGAATTTTTTTTTTTATTATTTCAGCATATTATGGGGGTACAGATTTTAAGGTTTCAATAAATGCCCATTTCCCCCCTCCCCCCACAAGTCTGAGTCTCCAGCATGACCATCCCCCAGATGGTGCACATCTCACTCATTATGTATGTATATGCCCTCCCCCTCCCCCCTCCCACCTGCCCAATACCCTATTACTGTAGTACCTATGTGACCACTTAGGTGCTGTTCAGTTAATACCAATTTGCTGGTGAGTATATGTGGTGATCTTTTTTTTTTTTTTTTAAATCACAGGACAATGGTTTCATAAAACAACCGTAGTCATCATTCTGCAGGAGGCTGTAAGGAGTGCATAGAGTGACCTGCTCACCGCCATTTCCTTGATGAGAGAAAGTGTGGGTGGGCGACCTGTACTCACTCATAGACTTGTATTCAAGAGACAGGTTGCCTTGTGCTTTGGCTGACAGTTAAAATGACTGGAAACAACGTTTGCCGAAGCGTCACCCCCATGCTCCCACTACCACAGTCACCATCGCTGTCACCGCCACTCACTGTCACCACCACCGCTGCCACCACGATTCCAAATGCTTTAGTTCTCACCATGAAACATCCAGATTACTGAGAAAATGTATTGGCAGAAATGAGATTTAGGTGAGTGTTTCAGAAGAAAACCAAAGATGAGAATTGGGTCACTTAATCATTTAATCCATAGAAAATCACAAAAAAATCTGTCCGTACCACCGTGGAATACAGAGGCAATCAGCATGGGTGAATATCATATCGATTTTGTATAAAGCATTTTATTACTAACAACTTGATGATACTGTGAGCCCTCTAGGATACTGTAACTATTAGAATTGCCATTTAAAATTTAAATTCATTAGGTTGCACGCCAGGCCTTATTTTGCCAAGAGAAACGAGGCAGTGCTCTAAGATTTATTTTTGCAGATGAATATTGACAGTGGTACTTGGAGTGTTTAATAAGGGAGAGCAGGATCCCATTGAATAAAGAATTAGCAAGTGTAAGGGGCTTTGTTTTGCCAATGTCACTGAGGTCCGTATTTTCTTAAATTGTTTTCCTTGAAGCCCTGGGGTGAACAGCCCAGAGGAAAGAGGACAAGCCTGTGGCACTCTGGATTTTCTGTCCCCATCACAACTGTCATCTGTTTTATACATTGGGTTCTTATAAGGTACCGTTTGCTTCTTTTTTTTTTTTTTATGGAGGAAAGGATCTCTGCTCCAAAAAAATAAATATGTAAGGTAGTCACTAATCTCCAATATGCCTTAGTGACTGCATGAAGAAGCACTTGAAAAACTGGTATCAGGAAGAGAGAACCAGTTTTTAATTTCTTCACCAGAGTGGGCATTTTCCAGTTCCCCTTTCTCAGAGTCAGTTTCCTAATGCAAATGGAGAAACAAAGAAAAGCAGAAGTAGAGAGGATTGCTTATTTGAGGGGAAAAAAAGCCTCATTAGGGTCCATGTCAGGCTTAATTGAGTAAGACCTCTTCAGTCATGGCTGCCATGACAATAAGCGGTCCCTATGCATCCGCAGTAGATTACATCATGGAGTTTTAAGAGTGCAATGGAACTGGAAGAGGTTTACCCACCAACCCATCACCAAAAGTAAAATTGATCAGTCCATCACCAGAAATAATTTCAGAGCAAAGATACTAGTATATGAACATTATTCGTAAGCTGGATAAAACCTTATCAAACAGGCAGCATATATTCATTGAATCAAATGAAATTGCTAATATTCAATGATTTTGACCTATAAAATGATCAATTTCATATGGTTCAACTGGATATGTCACAGGATTAGGAACAAGACAAAGCAATTCCAGCGTAACAACCAACCAAGTCACACACACACACACACAAAATTGGGAAGTACACCGGCAAATGGAAGCATTATTTTACCTAAAGTAAGTCCAAGTTTCCTTGCGCTAGAATTGATGACTAGGAATGAAAGCCATTACCGTATCACAAACTATTCTAACCACAGCTTATGCAGAAAATGCCCCCTGTGATACGGAAGTATATGTTGTTTCTCTCTGTAGAGAAAGCAGACCTGATGCCAAATGGCCAAATTACCTGAGAAGGCGTGATCAAGTTTAGAGTTGGAATCTCCAACGACAGTAACTTCAGTAACTCCAAAGGACCCAGTCTTAGCAGGGGTCGCGGGGATGGGGGTGCTGTTTTCCTTTGTGTCTGGGTAATGAGGTGCATTACCTTGTGGTAAAGTAGTCGAGCCTTCAGAAGGATTTTGACCTCTTCTTCCACCTCTGACAGGATTCCTGTCTGTGTGGAGGTGGAATCAATGATAAACCCACATTTGCAAGATTGCACCCACCCTGCGCTCGTATTCAGAACATGCCATTGCTGCAAAGGCTTTCCACTTATTATCCACAAACAAGGAGAAAAGGATGGTGAAGTTTGTCATACTGTTGAACAGAATCAATATTTTGCAATAGACACAAGCTGGGCGTCACTCAACAGAAGAGATTTTGGTGATCCTAATACCCAGAAGAGGCATGTGTTGTAACATCCATCTGGGTTACTAAAGTAAGGCCTATGCCACTACAACTGTCACCTTGAAGTCAATTCAGGTACTAGATAATCTTGAGCTCTTTCTCCATTGGATCCACCTTTGATGAAGTGGAGGAAACACACCATTGGATTCAAAGGTAAAATTATGCTGCGTGCAACTGGAATAGCAAACACAAGGTTTCAAAGACCTGAGGCCACTAATTTAATTATTATTTCCTTTTCCAGAAGGGAACTCCTTCTTAGTCACCAGTACCATGGAGCGGAAGTCCAGAGGACAAATAGCAAAATAACATTAAGGTAAGGCATATAGAGAGCAATATAATCAGACTTTTACACCAATTACAAATTATATATAAACAATCCATTATTTTTAAACCAAGTCACTAACTCTACAGCATGAGAAACCCAACCTTTAAGAATTACAGTTTTCACTTAGTATACAATATCTTCTAAGAGGTCTATAAAGCAGAAAAGTCACCAAAAGAGAACCATCACCAGACACACCTTTTGATCAAAAGTAACAGCATAACAGCAGCCAACTTAAGCACCTCCACCAAAGACACTGCAAAAGCACCCATAACTTATTGATTTTTATCAATAGCTGGAGCCAACCGGGCTTTGTAATCCTTACTGCTTGATGTTGGAGAAGTTGTTGTTGGATGGTCTTTATCTTCTTCCAAGCCTCCATGTGAGGTAGAGAAGCTCTGAGAATGACTCTGCTCTGTTTCAATAAGGGATGAATCCACCATTAATTTGAAGCCATGATATTAATCCTGTTACCTGCTAATGGGGAGGATATAGCTACAGCAGTGTCAGATGGGTAGGCACACAGGAAGACCAAGGTCTGTGTGCAACATTCTCCTCTGATAGACAGAAATATGCAGAAGAATTCTGTCCTGCCCCTAGTTGGCCACTAAGACCCTTATTTCTCAGTATAGTCAACAAAGGTAAAGTGGCAAAGTAAAGACTGAGCTAAAACTTTGTCTACCCTGGATCATCCTGGCCCAATTGGACTATTGTTCTCAGTCACTTAGGAAAACCAGAGAATATGGAGACAAAGAAAAAGGAATGTCCTAATTCCAGTATTCCCATCATTAATCAAGAGCACCTAACTGTGGGTGAAGAAGTGTAACTCTAGGTAAAATAAGCTCTATGATAGCCTACAGTGTACCTATCACCACAAAAGAGAAAGAAGCCCATCTAGAATGACCTGCTCAAGTAACTCAGATCAAATTTATACAAGGAAAAACTTAGCTCCCTTCTAAAGACTATTAAATTAAAGATACCATTTTAGTGTATTATTAGGTTTTTGATCTCATCTGTGGACGGGGATTCTCATCATTTCTCCAAGGAAACGCTTGCCTGGGCAAACACAGGGCCCTCAGTGACATATATCAATCTCAGGTTGAACCACTGCCCATATCCAAAATCACTTTGACTGTTTGAGTTCATTTCTTTTGTGTACTTCAAAGAAAGGGACTGACCTTTGAGTTGCAGGTGCAAGAACTTCATAAAGCACAATCATAAGCCATGTCCACCACCAAATAAATATTATAACCAGGAGAGAGACATTCACCAGATCCCAAACCCAATATTGGAACAAAAGCCAACAGTGACATAAAATGGAAATACGGGCCTATTTGCAAATCCTTTGATGCTTAACGCTGTGCTATTTACACTGCTGACAGTCAACACATGCTTGCTGATTTTTTCCTTTGTCTAAAGAGCTCCTATGAAGGACTTTGCCCATTACATGTAGCAAGCAGTGAAATAAGGCCCTCTTAATTCTTTTTTTTTTTAATTTCAGAATATTATGGGGGCACAATCGTTAAGGTTACATACATTCTCTTAATCCTTGATTTCTTTTATATTCTGCCAAGAATATGAAATTATGAATGACTTTGGGCTAATCTCTAGGATATCCCTGGACATGTAGTAGAAATTAAATGTACTAGAAGTTTATCATTGCTTCCTACCACTTGTTTAGTGATAGAAAGAGATATTAGCAAATGTTTCTTTTTTTATTTCCAGGACCCTACCTCCTTTGTTAATTGTCAACAACATGCCTTGCCACTTCTCCATGGGTGGATGTGATTTCCCTACTCTCTATGATTATCTAGCCCCCAAAATATCTTTTTATAACCATGCAAGCAATCGTACTCTTCTTCTGCCTTGACTAGAGAAAGGATGGGAATCGAAAGGAGATGGTCAGTTGAAATATAGAGGAACCACTGTCCTGGCTGTGGTCAGGTTTCACTGCTAAAACTACTTAGAGAAGGAAAAGTGAGTTGAATGGAGTCCCACATCCTTTTTTGTTTTTTTAAACATAAAGTCATTGAATCTGGGAGGCGCCAAGATTGAAGGCAGAATCAGGTTTAAAGAACCCCACAAGAAATGTAGGCAGTGAAGACAGATTTACACTCTGGGCTTAGCTGAGCCGCATAACACTAAATACACCGTTCACCACCACCAAGCTCTACATCTTGGCCAATGGGAGCAAGAGCTGAAGCAGGAACAAGGAATACAGGTCATTATTCTTACGCGTTGTCATTGAAAGAGGTCCTGTCCTGTCCAGGTCTTCCACCAAACCTGTGTTTGCATCTGCAGTAGGTTGAGGCGTTGTACTATGACTGGAGTCTGTATCTGAAGGAATTAAATCAATGTTATTGCTTGACTTCCTAAGCCACTACCTGAGAGTGGTTTATGGTCTATAGCTGAATTATTTTTGTATTCAAACCTGGATAAGAGGAAAGAAAGCACATACTGAATTATGTCTCCAGAATTGGGATACGTTACTGTTTCTTCAAAAGAGTACCACAAGAACTGGCTTTCCCTTAAGGGCTGAGTTATCTGAAAGCTATGACTTTTGTTTGTTTGTGGTGAGTCTGGAAGGACTCTACGTGAGCACATGATGGGACTCCCAAGCCTTGCAGAAAAACATCGCCTTTCTCAAACACACCTGCAATCTGACACGTGGAGAAAAGAGAAAGAGTCCTGGCTCAGACACGACTTTGTCACTTCCCCCTTATAAGTCATAAGGGCTTTCTTTTAATAGCTTTTCCCTCATTTAGTCCTTTTTTGCTTCACAAAAATCATCATCCAATACCACATAGGTGGAGGCCATGGAAAGTACACAGGGGCAAGAAATAAGAAGCAGGGGATGTCACTGAATTATTCTTCTCATAAACATGAGTATGAGGAGGTCTTTAGAATTTAACACGTACAGTGTTGACTGGTGCTGAAATTTCACTGATGTATTTATAAATGTTATTTTTTCATAGTTATCACAGATCTATTCTGCTGAAATACCAAGTCCTGAGTGAAATGGGGCCAAACAATGCATGAACATCATCAGTGTTGCTGGCTCTCCAATTCAGCCAAAGCCCATGCACACTGCTTTCTCTGGGGAGACTTCATCAGTTCCAGATGACTCCAGGGGGAGTGCTGGAACGCTGGGCACGCACATCTGCACTGCAGCCTTAACATGCTAAAAGAAAAGAATCAAGATCTTTTCCAGCCTGAGCAACATAGCAAGACCCTGTCTCTACAAAGAATAGAAAAATAGGCCAGGCATGGTGGTGTGCATCTGTAGTGCCAACTACTCAGGAGGTTAAGGCAAGAGGATCACTTGAGCCCAGGAGTTTGAGGTTGCTGTGAGCTATGATGATGCCACTGCTCTCTAGCATGGGCAAGAGGGTGAGACTCTGACTCAATTAAAAAAAAAAATAGATCTTTGTAGGACGAAAATGTGGCTGACTCTACTACTCCAGATTTCAAAAAAAATAGGAAAAGCCAGTTAACCCAGATCAAAACTCCAAATGGATATTCTCCCAGAAAAAAAAGAAGTCCTGCCTGCCTGCCTAATGATGGGTTCTAGACACTTGTGTTCTTCTTCCCGTTTATAAGTAGAATCCTTCAAGAGGTATCACACCATTCTACAGTTGAAGCCAATTGTACTGTCCTTGAATCTCTTTCTCTTCATCAATATGGAGTCTCAGTATTGATTCTTACATTCTTTTACTGGCTTGGTTTTCCCCCATGGATGTCCTCAGAGCCCCCAGGTGCCTTGTGCATACACAGGGATGCACATGCTGGGTGCATGTGGCACGTCAGTCACCTAACATAATGGCCCTGACCTAGCCGCTCAAACACATCTTCCTTTATACAAACAGATCCACTCACTTTGACATATTCATTCCTCACCTTTTCTTCATTCATGCTTCTCCTTACATGAATCTCCTTCCTAGAAGAACTTCCACCCACTTCCTTTCTCTGACTATCCAGGATGTTTCCCCCCATTTTTCAAAAACCAGATCCAATCACATTTCTCTGATGTTCTTGGTGGGCGTGGGAGGAGGGTTCTCTGAATTTTTTTAGCATTTATTGTTGGCAACATTCATTTCACATCTATTACTTACTGCCTCACATTGTTAGGTATATTTTGATGTTAAATGTTTTCTTTTGCCAACCCTCCTGCTAAATTCTTCACTTTCCGCTCGGGGCTTCCTATTCAGATGAACATGCATATCATTTTGACCAAGAAAACTAATTTTTGAAGAAACCTCCAGTCCCTTAGTAAAGTAGATAGGTCTAAAACCAAGGGCATATTTCTAGAACAATAGTCATTTGGTAGATATCAAAAACATGATATATATATAAAAAGTTCAGAGGCTATTACCCTTCCTTCTTTCTGTGTGATGACCATGTCCCATTGGATGTGAGATTGGGTCGAGGAAATCAGTCCAGGAGCTGTCCTGTTGGCTCTGTGTTGTCATTCTTTGACTTGGATGGTTGGTGTAGGCTGAGGCTGTTGTGACCATGCAGTTCAAGCAATTGTCAAAGTGTTAATGGACACTTGCCCAGGGATGCAATGATTTTTTAAAAAACATCTTATTCTCTAGACAAGATCATGAAACCATCTTCCTGGTATAGAGTGCAAGGAAGTTTCATAAATGCAGAATGTTTTAGCAGGTTTGGGTTCATTCATGCTCATTTTCTTAGCAATCAGCATGTGAACTGGAGGACGAAAGCATGAACAACTTCTGCAGTGGATAGAGGATGAGTTCCAGACATCAAGGGAAGATGAAGGAAAAGTAGTTCTTGACTCATGCCATGCTGCTGCAGTCCCTAAGGGCGAAGGTATAAGAGCCCAAGCACATGATGTCATTCTGAGACAACCACATTCCAGCAAAATGCACATGAGGCTGGTAGTGATCTCAGGAAAAAAATCAGGTAGCAGCTTCTCATGTGATAAACAAGAAAGTCAACGCCATTCATCTCAGAAGCATGAATGGAATCCGTTAGAAGCATCACCTTATAACAATGAGATCCATAGCATAAATGACATGTAAAAATGCAGCACACTGCCTCATTCTGAGCCAATGGAGAAGGATAGGTAAGAAAAGATTACAATAGTATCCCCTTAGCAACAGTAACAACACACAGCCAGTCACTGAATCCACTGCTCTGCCAGTGATTCATTATGAAGTTGCCATGCACTGTAAGGACAATATGCATTATATTCTATATTGCAAATGGAAACATGGAAATATTTCTCACTGATGCCAATTGAGAATGTGTAATCCACATTCTTTACAAGGCAAGGATGTATTTCAAAACTTATGTCACACAGAGAAAAGCATCATGCAAGGAGTTTGGCAAGAGTGAAGTCTAATTTCCACAGTCCCACAGTTCAAGAGTACAGAAGGTGTCTCTTTGTAAATATAAGAAAAACACATTATACACTCAAGGAGAAATTACCAAACAGACATGATCAAAAGGCCAAATGACATCAGATAGGTGTCATTTTTCTCATAACATCTGGCTCCCTTTCTTGAAACACTGGGGTTCTGGAAAAATGCTTTCTCGCAAGCCAGTGTTTCATAGAACCATATTGTAAAGTCTGGACCCATATCATAGAGTAGATTGTTGAACAAAACAAAAGGGAATATTTTAGAAGATCCAGGTCTCCGCTACAGCCTCACTAGGGAACACCCAAAGCCAGATCTGAAAGTGATTTGTTAGGGGCATGTGAGGTTTGGCTCAGTGTTAACTGCAACATGATTTATTAAGGAACCTAATGCCGTGTGACAATTCCTTCAGTGTCCTTTTGTCAGTGTCCTCCATGCCCAACATTTAACCCAAAAGGAAGTTCCCACCCAAGTTTGCTCGGGAAGCCATCCATTACTAGCTGTCCCTACTGCTGGACGAGAGTCTTCTCTTGGCGTTTGGGGATACTCCCCATGCCACCTGTTGCCAAACTCTCTTCTCTCCAGGTAGCTGTTTCGTCAGTTGTACTACTAGGAGTCGCCTGGACTGTGAGAAGAAGGTCAGTTGTGAGCCGTGATTGCCTAAGTTCCTCCCCAGTAGCTGTTACTTATCTTCCTACTTTAAGGGTGAGAAGGCAGAAAAAGAAGGGGAGAGAAGGCAGAGAAAGAAGGCAACAAGGAGATAGGCCACTGATAATCGGAAATGGATATTAGAAATTAAATGGACCAATCCTTTAGTTTTTCATATATGAAAACAGAGGCCCAAAGAGCATTTGACTTGCTTAAAATCACATAGTCAAATTGGTATAAAGTTAGGCACTAGATCACAGCCTATGAATTCCCGGTATTATTCGCATTTTACTGTAGCCTCTGGCTTCACGTATCCTGTCTGAGAGAGCTATCTGTTCAAGGAATAACCTCTTTGCTCCAGTTAGTTTGGGGAAGGAATATATTGTATAATGACCCATGACAAGATTAGCACAGAAGGGGCCTTCTCAAACGGTGGTGACATAACCCATGATCACACACACTGGCAATGCACCAGCAGTGGATGTGCCCAGCGTGAAGACGTTGGGATGGCTGGGATGCCACTCCACTGACACGTCACGTGGTTATGTCCTCATGGCATCGAAAATTGCTAAAATCCGAAAACCTACCTAACAGGTACAATGAACACTATTCGGGCGATGGGCACATTTAAAGTTCTGACTCAAGCAATCCAAAAGCTTTCCGTGTAACAAAAACATCTGTGCCCCCAAATACAATTGCTAAAGTCACTTTTTTACAAAATTAACTTAGTGGAAGGAAAACTATTCTAGCCAATTTGGGGCATTATATAAACAATAGCAATGTGTGGCAGACTTAAAATGTCAACTATTGTTTTAAAAAGGACAAAATGAACCGAACAAAATTCCACCAGCGTGATGACTTCAGGAGAAGCCAGAGAGCCACGGACATTTTCATCTAAAGCAACTCACAGCAAATTTTTAGTTCATCAAGAAAATGAGAGCCTGTAAACTTGCCAACTTGTAAAATTGGATGTATTTCATTATCTTAGAAAATGATACATGTGAATTGATGACAGCAAAGACATTTAAAATATAAAACTTTCTGTCTTCATTTTATGGGTACATTGGCCAAACCATTCCTGGGGCTGTTTATCCAGAGGGAGAAAAAAAAGGTCAAAATCTTAAGTTTTACCTCCTACTGACTAAATCACTACCTCCTGACAAAAAAATTAAGTTAGAAAAACCACCGAATGTAGTAATTATGAAAAAGGAAAATTCTACCCAAACATCGTCTGCCATGTTACTCAAAGTTTAAATAAAAGAAATAAAGAAGAGTACATGTGTGTGCAGAGAAGAACTCTATTTCCTTCTATCACTACTTTTATAAACATAATGACTTTTTGAGTGTCCAGCAACCCCCTATTGTTTTCAGCGTAGATAGGAATGGGTTAGCAGAACATAGGAATTCCATTGTGAAAGATGAAAGTTGATTCCCTTCTAGAAGTTGTAATGTTCATTTGATAGAGCCCAATCAGAATCCCTTTAAGTTTTGCAACTAAGAGAATTGCCGCAGTTGCTGCCTTCTCTTTGTCAAGTCCCATTAAGTCTGATTTTTCAACTACCCCCTAGCATTGATAGCCCTCACCTACCACTTTTTGACAACAGGCTCATTAGTTCTAAGTTTCCGAAGTAGCTTTCTGCTTTGTAAGTAAAAACTGTCTAAATATCTCTAAGATATACTGTTAGGCCCCAACGGGAACTGGTACAGAATCATATTCCAAAGAGATTTCTGTTTCCTCTCTATTTCCTTTTCTTATTAGAAGACTTCTCTGTTGACTCAAGCCCATAATCCTTACTCATACATCAAATCCACTGGGGCAAGTGACAGGAGGTAAAGCCCGTTGGATATGTTCGGTACCGTGCCCACGACTTAGGAACCCACATCCGAGCCGATGTCTGAAAACTTTTCTTTTGTTCTCCGAAGACATCTCTCAAACCATACATTCCTAAACCTCTTTGGTTTCTAAGGGGCCGCTTTCTCTTTAGGCATTTTCAAGGCTGTGAAAATGATAGTTGATCCATTGTTTTAAAGAAATTTGGATGCAAGCTGTTATCCAAAATAAATACTTCTTCGATTACAAATAAGATAGGCCTCTCTGAGTGGCAGAGAAGAAAGAAGAGCACATATTTCTTACTGGGGGGGCAACGAGTGAGTTTATCCTAAGAATCCACTGATGACACTTGAGATTGTTTCAGAAAGCCAGAGATGTTTGTAAAACAGTAGGAATAATAGTGACAGCATCATAGTGAGAGCCTTGCCCAAGTTACCCTGGGCTTAAAAATAGAAAAGAGCAGTTGTAGAATCAAATATAGACTATATAAGCTATCAATTTTCCTCCAGAGAGTACAAGGAATGCCCTTCTACAATACAGTGAGGAACAGAATGTGAAAAAGAAACTATATTCATTAAAGATCTTCACAGAACATAAGGATCCCAAAGATCACTTCACTTGTCAAGCTTTCTTTCCAGATTCCACTACTAAGCACCAAATGAATACACTCTTCACCACACACTTCCATAAACACACACAAATCACCCAAATAGAATCTCCAGGAACCTTTAACACAAAAACTGGATCTCAGATCTACTTCTCAAATATTTTTGGCCTTTGGGCAACCTAAGAAGTTAGCATTTTTCTTCCAATTTCTAAAATCTATGTGCAGATTTGGCAGCTTTTCAGGATCTGGGCATAAAAGAAATTGCCAAGTGGAAATAGAAGATGTGGCCAGTGTCTAAACAAAGTCTTCCCTGTCTCTGGAATGTCTTCGCTAACTCAGCTAGACCAGAGCTGCCGACCGCCATCCTTCTTACTTGTGCTTGCAGAATGCGAGGTCTCCTCTTCATCGTGGTGCTCGCGGTGAACGAGAGGAGGGTGTGGTTCCTGGGTCCAGTTTTCTCCATGAGCATTGGTGCCACTTGTGTCTACATGTACTGTGATGGTGGTTAAATACACTGTGATTTGTTATCAACCAACTTTTAATGACTCTGTTCTTCCATTAAAGCACCTGCTATGTAACAGCTCTATGCCTAAGTAATACCTCTAAGCAACTACTTTCAATAATTTTGAGTGACTTCATTAGTCTCTCCCAAGAGAAAATCAATGGGCATGGAATTTCTTTGTGATTACTTGTTATTCCACTATAACCACTTTGTCAAGAGCAGCACCATAAATCATTCAAATATATTCATTTTTATAACAAAGCAACATAAAATACCCTGTGCTCAGATGGTATGATTGATAAATGATTCCTAAAGGGAATTGAGTACCCTTATGAAAGTTGACTAAGAATTTGTTGATGAGAGTTAACTAAATTTCCCACTGTGTCCCCATCATTGACCTTTGCAGCATCATAAACTTTGAAGGGAAAAAAAAATCTTTAATTAAATATGTATAACGCATTACCAGTCATCCTTGTCGTTGTCTGAAGTAGTACTTCTGGATTTGAATGGCTTGGGGTCCATTGGGTCCAATCCTGGTTCTGTTTTGTGTGGTCAAAAACCCGTGGTGTAGTTGAAACTGTGATAATGATGATCGAAGCAATTAGGAAAATGTTATTTCTTGAGCCTTCACCACTTGTTTTGTGCATTTCTCCCTTCTGCAGTCTATGCAATGAATCATCTATACCAGGTTGTATAGATGGATGTGTGGAAATGGGGGGAAAGCAGAGAGGGCCTTCAGCTTAATTCAGCCACTTGGTAAGCATCTCAGTGTCCTCTGCATTCTGTCATACATTGGGGTTCAGAACATGAGATCTTCCAGAGAAATCAGCCAAAGAAACTGCAGCAGCAGGAAGAACAGCTTTGGAAATACCAGCCCTCCACCGAAGATAACCAAAGACGTCAGAGTTTTGCCCATCCATGCAGTCTGTACTGGAAAGCCCAAGGATTTTGTGTCACAACTGCTACCTGTGGCTCCTCAGGCTGGAGCAGCAGATAACTGAAAGTTATGCAATGATGATCATTTTATTCTGTTAGTAATTTTGGTGGAGAAAGAAACACCTGAGCAGCCAGAGCTTTCCTATAAATGACTCCAAGAATGAATGAATAGCTACCTAGACCGGCCATATGGCTTAGCTATACATTTCTGAACATTTATCAAACACTTATGTATTCTCATCAAATACATGAGCAAGTCATTCATAGCCAATGAAAGAAAAACAAGACGCAAACATTCAGTAGAAAAAGGCCACAGGTAACCAGCCACCATCACAGAAGCACCAGTGCCCTGATATTGTCATCAATATGTTGGGGCTAGAATGGGAGATGCACCAGATAGAAGGATCATGATAAAATCAGAATCAATGTCTTTAGTGAAAAAGGTTATTTGCGAATTCATCCTAATTCTTTCAAACTTTATTTTGATGCCCAAATAATACAAAATTCTTTCTAGAACTGTAATACTATCAGATCTATTTCACAAGTTATAAAAATCACATTTAAAACCATTAACCACATTCTCAGTAAGCATGAAAAAGTGGCAGTTATCATACCCGTCAGGAGAAAGAGAGCATCCTGTTGAATTATGTGCACAGGTGCTAAGTAGAAAAGTAAACAAATAGAAAGATATGCCATGGAGATTAAAAAAATACCATAGGAAGTTCTTCCCTGTAGCCTGACCATACAACTTGCAGGTTGATCTGTTTGGGTTGCCGCCCAAGGAAGTTTAATTTCTCAAGTATTAAGACATCTTTAGTAAACAGCCACCTGCAGGGCTGGGCCACACAATAGTAAAACTCTAGTGTTTTTGGTTATTTGTGTTTTTTTTCCTGAAGTTACTAAAAAGAGTTTCCTTTTTTCCATAGACTAAGCTCTGCAGAGGTATCAGGTCTAAAAAATACAGCGCTTAAAGGTTTGCGTATCAGAATCTAGTTCATCTCTATTATTTGTTGTAACAATGTCATATACTGAGATGCCTTCGAGGCCTAAGGTTGTTTTTTTCTGGACTCCTCCCTCCCTGGGTACTGTCCATTTGAGGATGACTCTCTCAGGTTTTAACGGGATGGATAGAACTCAGTGACCTGCGTTGATGGAGTCCAGTTCAGGACTCTCAGCTCTGTTACAGCTACGTGCAGAAAACTCAGGCATCTGGCAGAATATTAGACAAAGCTTTGCATGTTTTTTAAATTTTTAAGGACATTTTCAGGTCAGTTTCCATCTCGTTCTCAAAAAGGTTTATAACTGTCACAAATATGAGTACTGTTATGTACAAATAGTGGTTTTACTATTTGCTTTTAATAATTGGCACTGTCTCATTCAAGTTAAAGCTGAACTGACATTTGCCTTTCCCTTCAATGTCCTTCTGTTATATTGGTGTTCAGCTCATTTGTTAAGACTCTGGGTTTGTTCTTTTGACCTCAACCAGGTTTTCATGGCCTAAGACAATTCTTGAGTTCTAGAGCCCATCTTTTAGGGCTTTCTAGAGCCTTCAATTTAGGATCTTCTACAACTTTTAATTAATACCCTCCTAATCACATTCTCCAAGTCTATTATTCCAACAGAGCATGAGTGCTTTGAAGGCAAAGGTTCTTGTTTTTTCCTCTTTGTGTTACCTGCATTTAACATAGTAGGTACACAATGAATATCTGTTGTAATGTTTTAACAAGTCCCTTCTGTGATAAAGCTTGATAATTCAAAGAAAATCTGTAGCAGAAAGCCTCATAGATAAAACAGGAAGAACATGAGGCATTAGAAATTTTATAAGAGATCTTTTTCCGATTTCTTTTCTAAATATATTGTGGCTTCCATTCAAAATATTCTATTTCTTCCTTCCCAATCTCATCAAGGCATAACTAAGGTATGATCATAGGTTCACTCATTTTTCACATTAACTATTTCCCAAGAGAGATGCTATTTGGTATCACTCAGGTAAATCAGTCAGCTTTGGATAAATGGTTCTACCATAATTGATTATTCTTACTGGTACTGGAGATAAAATCTTCATCATCATCAATGCCTGATCCAGAAAAACTGACGTGTTTGTCTCTTTCATCTTCATTTTCTTCATTTGGCTCCCAGCCTGTTGAGATGGTATTTGAATCCGTACCTGTTGTGGTGACTTGCATTAGTGGTTGAGCCGAATGCCAAGCAACCCACTTGCAAAGGAAGGAAATCAGGCACAGAAGGTACAATGGGTTTCCCACAATTTTAAAAGGAAAGTGAGAAAGTTGCCTTGTATACCCCAAATTCTTATGCCCTGGCTCTGAAGCTAATATATAGATCTCAAAACAATTGGCTATGATCTTTACAACTGAACATTCTCTTTAAGGAATTTGAAAGAGTAAATACAGACATAACCCCACCAAAGAATTTTTTAAAAGCCAATGAAAACTCCCTCATGCTTTCAGATGCGTTTATTAACTCATTAAGCATGTATCATTAAAGCTAGGACACCAAGAATAGAATGGAAAAATTTCATGTGCCTATTTTCTTTGTCAAGACACCTTTAGAAAAACCTTAGAATGTAAACTCATTTCAGTCATTTCTAAAATCCCAGTTGTGTTCACAATTTGCTGGTTCATTTTTTATCTTCTCTAGCATGAGATCATTGTAACTCTACATGCAAATGGAAGCTATACTACAGTTCCCAACAATACCTTAGCACAGAGCAAAAAAAGTTAAGTCAATTAGCAGATAAATAATTCCTGGCATTTATTAACTAATCAAAAGGTTAACTAATGCAGATTGTAGTTGAGGTTTTGAGAAATTTTCACTTTTTTCTTTTTGATGCAATATAGAAAAGGAGATAGAAACCTTCCACTTCTTCTCAATGGTTATTCTAGAAGATGTCCATTTACTAATAAAAAAGAGGTTTTCTACGTTTTGAGTGAGATTCAGGCTATCTTAGGGAATGACCATTTGTCTTTTCATACTATTAGTGTCTACCCCCAAAACAGTTCCATTGATGAAGATTTTTCTAAATTTTGTCAGATCTATCTATGCTATTTTATTTTTTCATGAAAAGTCAAAAAATTTTTGTGACTTTGGCAATTTTAGGATGTAAGTGAGTAATCTTTCAGAATCACAATTCTGTTCTGTCATCAAAAGAGATACCTGATCTCTCTTCACAGTGTCTATATTAGCCTCTTTCTGGGATATAATAATCCTATAGAGTAGAAAGAAGAAATCTGCTTATTAGCACTGTAAAATCAAACATATAGATCCCAGAGCTCATGAGACCTCTTAAGTCACTGTGAACATTTGTGAGAACAGAATTGACTTTCGGCTATAACAACATCAATTTTCATTGATGGGTCAGTGAAAATTATTAATGATTATCAAGGAAACAGACGATGTGAGATAATCGTAACTTTACCAGCCATTTGTGTTGTTGAGTGAAGAGAATCCTCAGACCATGATGGATAAAGCCACCATGTAAACCAGTCCTGGGGTTCTTGCCTCTGGGTTGCTGTGTCAGGAGTTGTAGCACTAGTGCTCATCAAAGCTGTGGTAACCATGATTAAATTGATTGTTGAGACATTAATTAATTGTCAATTCCTAAGAAAATAGCACTGTATATGTGCTCCCTCTTTTGCTTCTCAAAAGAGTCATCTATATTTGATATAGATGATGTATGGAAAGAAAGGGAAAAAGCGAAGAAATTCCATGTCTTTCAAAGGCCCAAACTGGACTTCATAGAATTTCAGAGATGGAAGGACCTTAAATATCATCTGGTTCATGTTCCTCATCTTAAAAATGAAAAATTTGTACTAGACAGAGCTTCTGGCCTATCTGAAATCATAAGGCCAATTAGCAAAAAAGGTCTCACAGAGGGCATGAAAGCTGTTTCTGAATTTTGAAATTCTATATGTAAAAGAGGGTTAAATTTTTGCTCTCTGGATTCATAAGGCCGAACTAGGGCGATGGATGTAATAACCTGAACTATGCAACAATGAACTTCTTCATATAGTATTATTAATACGTTTCCCACCATCAGAAAGATCACTTGGCAGGAAAGTTGTGTAAGAGATTAAATGATTAGAAGTGTTGACTGAATCAGACCATTTAACATCCTCTCCAAATCTGAGAGTTTATGATTCTAAAACCCAGCTCTTCAGCATCCTAGCTCCTTAATCTTCTCCACAATCTATCTTGAGCAACCAATATCATTCTCCAAGAATTGGGGATATGATATTTCTGCCAGCAATCACAGACATTTAATTCCAGCCGTCCAAAACACAGGGAAGAATGACATAGAAGTAGAAGATTGAAAATGAGACCTTTCCACTTTTCTCCATTTAGAGTCCAAAACCTCTACCAATCTTGCCCAAGGTCACCTCTTATATAAACACTATATTTTGAAAAGCAGTACAGATATTTTGAGTCCCATTTTTTGAAAATAGGATAATCAAACAGGAAAGACAGAGATGAAGTGACCCAATGATCCTACCAATAAGACCAGAAGCAAGAGTCTTTGATTTGAAAACTTCCAAAGACTGCCATTTCTGCAATTGTAATGTGCATCAGAGAATATTAGATAATAGTAGACAAAAAACTAAGAACAAGTTTTAGCAGAGATACTGAAACCATCATTAAATCCCCAAACACAAAAAGTAAGGTAAGTTAGACTTCTTTTTCCAGCTATCAAGAAAGCCCAGAAATGACCCAAGATGAAACACTGCCAAGAAGACCTTTTCCTTTACACTGTTTGTCCTACAAAGATAAACATCGTAAACATTGCAAAATAGCATTTTCATTATACCGCAATCTCTCTCACCCCCTCCCCACCCCAGCATGATCTTAATCACTGTGACATGAAAAGCATAACATAACACCAGCACCGTTTTCCTTAGTTGATTATTTATAGAAATAAGGGATATAATCTATCCAATGTCTTCTAAGCTAAACAAATATAAAGAACCAATTGTCCATTTTTATTACTCCCCTCTGCCTAGTTATATTGGAATACATTTATTACCTCCATCAATGAAAGTTAATAAATGAAGATATGACTGTAATCTCCCATTTTTATAGATTTTGAATCTTTTCCCCCAAAGCTCTCATATCAAAACACTTTGCAGGGATTTAGAGCTAATAGCCAAACATCCAGGTAGCTTATTAGAGGCCTAGATTCTATTGTAGAGCAACAGGTCATTTCCTAACTTTACACTTGAGGTTTTAAGTGTCCAAAAAAGTACTCAGGGACTACACTTTAATAATAGAAGGAAACCAGCATTTCCTTCAATTATTATTGACTGTGATAATTAGGTCGGCTGAGAGTAGGAGCCTGCATTTTCTGGTAGGCTTCTTTCTAGAGGACATTTTCTGAATGAATCAGGTAGTCAATCCATTCATAGTTTTTCATAGTTTCATTCATTCATTCAAAATATTCATTCAGGTTTTTCTTCCTCTGAAGGAAAAATAACTCTGGTTTTGTGAACACATTGCCAAAAGGAAAACAAATAGGGCATGGGAATATTCAGTCATATCCACAGATCCACAAGGCTCTTTGATAAATGAAATGGTACCAGACCCTACTCTCACTCAAGATGGCGAAGGAGGATCAGTAGGGAACTTTGGCATGATAATGAATATTCTTTTCATTAATGCCAAAAGACCTGGCATTCAGGACAGCTGACCAGCAAAAGATTTAACCATTTACCTGTTGTTGCTGTTGTTGTGAGATCCTGAGTCTTAGGCTGGAAATTACCAAACCAGGACCACATCCAATTATTGTGCTCCTGAGCTGCTGCGTGGCTGTTTGAGTGCACAGTTGAAGTAACTGGATCAATTATGAAAATACCATTTAGTGAGGTTCCCTCTAAAAAAAACCTTTACTTTCAGTTCTATTTATATATGTTGTCTGTATCTATTATTGAATGAAAATTAGAAAAAAAAAATCTGGGCCTGTTTTCATCTTTCTAGCCTCCTAAAGTCTCCCGGAATGTTAGAACAACATCAGAAATGCAAATTCGGTGTGGATATCAATTCAATGTTACTCATTCTTCAAACTGAACCCCCCTCCCGAATTCACGATTTCAGCAAAATCAAGCAGCAATTTAATAACCTGCAATGGAAAGAGATTTTCTGTTTACTTGATTGGGTTGGATTTATAAACTGGAAGTCTTCAAAGCAACATTTCAGAGGTTGCTTTTGTTCATCTTTGGGGTTGCTTGCCTGTATCTTTCCCATCTGTCTAGCATTGTACCCTGGAAGCTTGTGATGACAACTGGCATTTCAAAGCTCCACTCACAGTGATCAACAAGTCAAACTTTATACTTGAGCATGAACTTTGCAAAGGGTGTGTGTTCAAAGTGTTGAAATTAGATAAAGCTTTCTCAAGCATCCATCCATCACTTCTGCCACTTTGGACTCTAATTCAGTATATGTTTTTGGAAAAAGAAAACAACCCAAACTGCCAAAGTTAAAGAAATTCTGGACTCTTCTCAAATTAGAGAAAGGATAATCAGTAACATTTTGCAATTGGAAATCTCTCATTGGACTCTCAAGTTTGACTTGAGTCCAGAATGTTCTCCTACTGAAGCAGAATGGCAAAAATCATCGAGATAAATATCTAAGCCAATTGAGATTTTTTAAAAAAACATCTTAAGTCATATATTCCCTTGCAAATCTGACATAAGTTATGGCTTCTCTTCTCAAAAAAAAAATGACCCTATGTATGCATATTCTCAACATTTTGCATATAATTCAGGTGGCTCTTGAATACTTTATAGTGTATCATTGAACCTACTGAAAGTCTATAAACCCTAGGTTAAAAACTTTGACTCTATGTATACCAAATGCCAATGACTGGCACAATCCGTTATGCGCTAGGAAGAACACGTTAGGTCAGAACACAGAGTTGAGCGACAGGAGCCAAGTTCACCCATGATGCTCCCAGATGAACCTGAGCAGTCCCTAGAAGACCCAGAACCCCCCTGCAATTCTCACTCCAGAAACTTCATTAGAGAAGCAAACTTCCCACCACCCTTACCCCAGACTACACCAGGAAAAAACAGTACAAGAGGAAATAAACCCACATGACAAGATATACATAGGCGTTATTTCTGTCTTCCTGAAAGAAGTTGTATGAGAGGGGAAAATTGAGACAGCTACTGCTCAGCCAGCAGAGTTTCCAAGCTTCCCCACCCAAGTAGGCCATACCAGACCAAAAAAAAAAAAAAATACATATTTCTTTGACACCCAGAAGATAAGGAAATAGAGTGTTCCAAGGCGGGAGTCCGCCTCCTGAATTAGTTTAGGTTTCTCTATTCCAGAGAGTTGCAGATCACCAATAGGAAGAGGCTGATGACACGCCTCCAAGGAGGGCTCTTCCAAAAATAACACAATAAACAGCTGGAAGTCCAAGCTACCCAGATGGTTGTTCTTATTAGCCTTCCCTATTGCCACCCACTAAGGACCCTTAAGGAAGGAATGAGCCAGCTAAGCCAAAGGCAGCTTCTTCTGTGCACTCAGCCAGCCCCCTGTTGACCTCCGCCCTTTTGCAATCACTCCCTGTCACTCCCTCTCACCCTGTCCCAGCTCTCAGTACAACAGCGATAAGGTTTTGGGAATCTCCTCATTGGACTCTGAAAACACGATTCTATTTAGGAATCTTATCAGCACTAACTTTTCCTGGCATGCCATGTACTGCATTCCAGTTTCCACCTGGTTGGTTTCTTTGATGCCCTTCTTTGCATGAATTGATCTCCTTGGAGTTGCCATTGGCCTTCATGGATCCTACAGTACTTCAGTGACTCTCAAGTTAGCCCTGGACTCATCTCGTAGACAACTTAGCCTCTCTCTTCTTTAACTGCTGAAAGAAACTCAGCTAACTGCTCTGGAAGAAGGAAAGTACAATGCTTTTCTCAAGCCAAATCCTGAGCTGTATTTTATTAATAGTGAAGTCTCATAGCTCTTCTTTTCCTTGATTTCTGAACGAGTACATTGTCTCCATGAAGGTAGGTCCAACTCTGAGTTCCCAGTAACTACAGCAGTGTCTGGCCCAGAGGGGAACTCAAATACTGGCTGAATGAATAACTATCCCACTAATCCTTCCTTTTTGTCAGCATTACTTTCTAAGTGTTTACCACCAGATCCCAAGCATTCCAATAGGCCTGATACATGGTAGGTCCTCAAAATAGATTTGTCGACTAACTAACTTAGGCAGGAAAGATGCAGTCCTTAAGAGATGTGCTATGGATGCTAATAAAACGTGCTAATTGCCTTTTCTAAAATGCATATGAAATACTATTTTATATAGGCTGTTAGTGGCTTGGATGTTAACTTAATCTAGTCCTAACAAGTTATGTTTTGTCAAGATATTCTTCTTTGGTGGGAAATGGTACTTTAGGGCAGACCTGTTCTGCTTCCTGCTGAGACCACTAATTATCGTGTTTGCCAACATTTGGCGAAACTGCATGCCCTAATGGTAAACACCTTCAACACAGTTGCTTGAAGAAGGCCAGGGACTCAAGAGGCAGCCAGTCGCCCGCTGCACTGCCTCAGCAAGGGTTGCCCATGGAGCTACAAACAACAGGGTGATGTCATCTCGAGAGAGCCAATAACCCAGAAAAGCATGGGCAGTTTGAAAATACTTGCTTTTCAAAATGCTGCAAAGAATCTGCAGGGAATTGTGGGAACCCCAAGCCTATTTCATATCACCCCCTCCCCTCAGCCAGCTACTAACAGCAATTTAAAACACCGTTGAGCAAGTAACGTTAAATTGAATCAGAGTGCTGTGGGCGTTTCCCTGGCTTCTGGGTGACAAGGAACAGGAAGGAGTCCTGTCTTGCATGTTCACAAGCCAGTACATTTCTGCCACTGCGCGGAGCCCAGAGTTCCGCCCCTCCGGAGCTGCAGCCAGGAAGAGAGAAACGCCACACCATACTAGGAAAACTGCTGGAGATTGCAGATGCCCTTTTTGAGTCGGACTAATCCTTCACAGAAGGAACACAGCCAATCTGGAAACCTGTTTTAAAACAAACCACAGGGGGAAAGCGAAGAGGGAAGCAAAGAAGGAGATGTAAACGCTGCCCAGCCAGCTGAAGCACGGGGCACAAAATCCCAGAGAAACGTAACGCCGCGTTTGCTCAGTTCCACTCTCGCCACCCCAGTGACGAATCACCCCCACACACCAAGTGAGCACTCAGAACTCGCACGAGTAGGCTGGGATATAAAGCTCTTAAGCTGATTCAATTTGATTATAAAACTCCTCCAGATAAGCTTCCTTGAACCAAAAAACAAAGGAGATATTTAGTAAGTCATGGTCGATGAATGTGACTGACTGTCACACAATCAATAACATGAGTATGAATCAGGTTAAAACATAAAAAACACAAAGTTAGGTGAAAAAAGGTGCCAACGGAATGGAATGCATACTCTGTGATCCCAACTTCATTTAAAGAATCTTATGCGTGGGGGCATAAGAACAAGAAGGAAACGTGCAAAAATAAAAATAGTTTTTGCATCAGGCTTGAATTATCATCCTGTATGCCCAGGGACAAGAGACTAGGGGGAGCCTCTTCTAAAAAACTTCCAATGTGGCACTTCTTATCCCAAGGTAAGAAAAATAGAGTTCTGGATGGGAAAAAAAAATGTAGACAGTAGTAGTCAATGTGTGCAGAGCACTGACAGCCGCCACAGCCCGCCTCCCCACCTGTCACCTGCATCTAGATGTCCAGAGACAGGAGAAAATCAATGCGTGAGTGGGTAACACTCAAGAAGAGCAGAGATATTTTGCCAAGAAATTGCTATTGGAAAGCACAACGATTCATTCTCCTTACTGGTAGCAGGGGTACTCTCTGTGTTGTCGAAGATGGAGGGACCATCCTGGTCTGGGGTCGGGTAGGCAGTTGGAAGGTGGGTGTGGAAGATGCTGTAACCTCCTGACGTGCTCCTCTCACCAGGGGACCCACTGCTGATGTCGTCATCGGGAGAGTTGCTGGGGTTGATGTCTTCGGGGTTCGTTCTGTATTCCCCTTTCTTGGTGTAGCGAGTACCATCACGGTTGACAATAGCTGGGAGAGAGAGAAGGCGTCTTCAGAACCTCATGGCTGATATTTTGAGCATGGGAAAGACGGCAGATTAGCATATACGGTAGTGACTTACTTCAAAGCTATTTTCTTTTGTTCTGAGAAAAACAACACCTAGTGGTGGGAGAGACTGGCTGATCCCCTAAGAAAGTTCCCCATGCCCTGGAAAGGGGGAGGGAAAAGAGGAAGCTCTGGGGAGTCCTCGCGTTTGAATCCCAGCTTCCTATAGCCCTAGACAAGGTAAACTCTCAGAGCTTCAGGTTCCTCATTCATAAAACGGGGACAGTATAGTACTACTTTCTGGATGGGGGCCGTTATGAACATTATGAGATACACTGTAAGTAAATTGCTCAACACAGCATTCAAAATAGAGTAGATGTTCAGTGAATGAGCTAGACGTTCAGCAGCTAGATGTTAAGAACATTATTTAATTTTTCTTACATTTAAATGTATTATTGAGGTTGCCTTCTCTTCATGACAAGTGATGTTGGTGTTTTCCCTGCACAGTTTCTTTTTATAAATAAATGTATTTTAGATAGAAAAGAATGGGTCAAGTAAATGGAAAATATCAAGCTGTGTACATGATATGTCAAAAAAAAGGTGAAAGTGGTTTTCAAATGACTGAAGTTTGAGGAACATTAGAGTAAACCAGGGAGCAATTTTAAGCCATTGCAGGAAAAGGGGAAGGGACGCTGAATCACAGCCAACCGTCCCTAGCCTTAGGGAAATGACTCATATTCTATTCAAATATAAACCATACAGAACACACCTGATCCTTTTCCCAAGAATGAGAAAACTCAATCAAGATTAGAAGAGATACGTACTTATAGTAATTACTCCCTCAAAGGCATTGGGCAGGTCTGTGACTGACGAACAATCTTCTTCTCCCTCCGGAGCTACGGGGTTGGAAAAAAAAAAAACATGAGACCTCTTAAAAAATACGAGCAAAATCCATCTCCATTTCTATTTAGTCAGTTAGGATGGAGTTTTATTATAACTTACACCAAATAATTTTCTGAAACTCAGTAAGTCTACTAGGAATGTCTCTGCCCTTCATGACATATTTTCCATTTTTATTTAATTTCATAAATTTCTGGAAACTTACTTACCTCCACCACCCCTGAAATTCATTCATTAACAAATACACATGTACTACACCACACACTGTGGAAGCCTGGAGGTACCATCGTGAATGAGATGCACATGGCTCCTTTTCTAATGCAGCGTTCGTTAGAGAGGATTTTTAAAAATTTACTAATATAAAAGTAATGTGGGAACATCATAAAAAATTTTAAAAATAAAGAGATGTATGAACTATCATTAGAAAATCATTTATAATTTCAGAAATCCAGAGAAATGATGGGAAAATATGGCAGTCACGCATGATTAAATGTTCATCATCAACACGAACAGCATAACATCACCAACAAAGAATTTTTTTTTTATTTTTTTTTTTTAGTAGAGATGGGGTCTCGCTCTTGCTCAGGCTGGTCTTGAACTTCTGAGCTCCAACGATCCACCCGCCTCGGCCTCCCAGAGAGCTAGGATTACAGGCGTGAGCCACCGCACCCGGCCCACCAACAAAGAATTTACTTGATCAAAATATTTAATGAATCGTTAGTCTTTCATTAACAAATTAATTGATCTATTAATTAAGCTGCTCTTTCTAAGTGCCTACTCTTTATAGACTACTTCTCAACACGTGGCTTCAGAAGTTGGCCACCTTTGGTCTAAGTCCCTAGATTTCCTGAGACTGCCATTTTGACATATATCATCACAGACACCTCTGACTTCTTTTTTGTTTGTTCTCCATTTATCTTCTACTCCTTTACCATTTCCTTCAGGAAAGGTTTCCGCATGTACTTTGGGCCTGCCCGATCACCCATAGATGTTACTGGACAACACTGTGTTCAGCCCTCCAAAACAGGCCCTGAAAGTTCCACTCTGCATGCTATCCCATGGGTCTTAAAAGCAGACAGCATAGTAACTTAACCAACCCTTCCATTCATGCCAAAATGCTCCATCCTGCAACTAGAGCTTATGTTGAGCTTTAAAAACTCAGAGAGCTTTAAACTGGCTTTGCTGTGATGGGAAGGCAGGATCCATTTGTGCATTACAGTTTTTATGCCGTGTGTGTGTGTGTGTGTGTGTGTGTGTGTGTAAATGCCTAAATGTAAAATGGCAATTTATTTGTTAGATTGGTTTCTCCCAGAGTTGTTTTTAGCAAAGAGAAAGGAAGAAAGAAATGGATGGATGGATGGATGGATGGAGAGATGAGTGGAGATAAGTAGGCAGGCTGGCAGACTGCCATCACAAGGAAGGCTGTTATCACAAGTATTTTATATGACCTGCCATAAATTGTTTGGTTCTCATAACAATGGACAAAAATACAGGTTGAACAAACAGGTTTTGTTTGTTTCCTCGTACCTGGGACCATCTTTTTCCAGCAAGTACACCTAAGATATTAACCTCCAAAATGGTCTGCACATAATATATGAGTCAAGAAACATTTAGATAAACCCTGATTGGTAATGGCATAAGGAATAATTAAAGAAAGTTACAGATATCACTGTTCATTTATTCTTTTTAAGCCTGTACTCACCAGACCATATAAGAAAAAAAGGAGAAAAAAGATGAACATGATTCTGTCCCTGCTTCTAAAGAATTCACAAAATCATGGCAGGGCAAGGGGAGGGGGTGTTGAAGGGTGGGGATAATAGTTTATATTTCTTTGGTTTTTTACAGTTGTCAAAAAATTTTCCAGAAATTTTCTCCCTTGAAAATAAAGGCATATGACCAACCTGGGAGATCCGGGTGAGTAATCTACCTGCGTGTCTTACAAATGCCACCAGAGACCAGCAGCCTGAGCTATGAGACGCTTCTGATGTTCATACGTTGCACATATCCAGAAACAGGCCTTGGGTTTTGGCTTCATGATGCCAGGGATGGAACAACCTCCCCCAGATGCAAACCCAACTGCAGCTAACAGTGCACTGGGAATTTCCAGGAAGTCAGTTGTAACAGAATGGGGCATGATGTCAAAAACACTAAGACAGTTTTGTAAATGATTAGAGCATTTATTCAAATGAACCCCCTTCATGCTCCAATTCACCTTAACTTTTACAAAGAACATCAGATCTGGCAAGGACACGAAGATGGATGGTGACCCAAATGTGCAACTAATATACTCATACTCCCACGAGTGATCCCAGGGCCTCATTAGACAGCCTTCCATTCTGTTTAATGAGCACTGTGCTGCTTGGAAAGTTAGACCTGGTGATGTGTCCATGAACCAAAGGATTGTTTTAGAAAGTCTCTAAGGTGGGAATTCTCAGAAACCTTGGCTCCAACTCACCAAAGTAACCAAGAGAAACATTAATTATTCAGTCTCACCAAGAATCGTTGGGTGCCAGATAGAAAGACACCTTTCTTATAGCTTGATACATTCTGTTCTCCCGTGAACATTTTCAAATAGTTTTTGAATAAGTGAATGAATAAACAAATGAATGTAGAATCTTCCCCATAAGTCTACCTTCAAAGGAAAATGAGGCACTTTACTGAAAGCAAGCTAAATAAATGAACAAATTCAAGTGAGTTCTCCGTGTTGTTCAAACAGAAGTCACCAGGCTCACGTTGGGCCTTAACTACTGAGCAAAGAGACACAAAGCCTTTTCAGGGTCTGCCTTATTTTCTTTTGTAAGCCACAGGCCATGTTTTCCAAAAACTACTGCTAAAAATTTTAAGATCATGGAAGTTATCTGCTAAGATTGAGCTGGCTTTGGTCGCCTTAGCCAGTTTACAGGGGGATCACAGTTCCTTGAATACAACTACCTGCTGGTAGTTCTCAGGCTACGTTAGATTCAAGGATCTTTCCAGAGAGATCCTTTGCATGGAGCAGAAGGTTATCAAGATCTTTAGTTCACCCAACACCCCTATCATCTGACTCCAAGCTAAGACATTCAGAATTTATTTGTCCTTAGACACATTTGTCTTCTTCTCCAGTTTCTTTATTCTTTGTCTCACTGCTTCAGCAAGATTGTTAATTTAAGACAAGAAATATAACTTTGGGTTCTTTCATACCCCCACTCTGCCCAGCACAGCATTGAGCACATAGAATTGATCAATCAACATTCTCTTTAAACTTAAAGAAAAACTTTAAAAAGCAGCCTATTAGCATTCAGTCAATTTGGAAAATGGAGAAAAGAGAAAACATGACCTCTAGCAGTACCATTCAATGTGTCCATTTGGGCATGTAATACATCACCAGCACTTCTCAAACTTTGCAACTGAACTCCAAGGAAAGGAAAGTTAATCAATGCCATTGATTTCCCCTCTGGGTATAGGCTCAATTTAATAAGCAAAATTAAGGGCAGGGAGAAAATTCTCAGTAGCAGCCTGCCTGGATGGCTTTCACTCCAGGCCATAAAACCATGTGAGCGTCTACCTTTTTGAGTTAAGATTCTTTCTGGAAAGTGCTACCAACTTGTAAAACAGGTGGGACAATGTGGGTATGCAACTACATAATCTGTTGCATAGACACACTCAACAAGATTCAACAGAGATGCAACAAGCAGTGCCCGGAGATTCTCAGGAGTACATAGTCTCACACTAGCCCTTTCCCCCTTCGTCTAAAGCACAAGCTCCTCCCAAAGTCTTCCTCCGACCTCCTGCACCCAGATGGAGCTAGCTAGACCACATGCTGCTCTGTGTTGATTTACTGTTTATTCCTATGTGGTTTTTCTCACTATAACATCATTACAATGGACATCTGGGTACGTTTTTGGGAACTGGGTATGCATGGGCCACGTACTTTTTAGTGTCCGTTGGATTTTTCTCCTTTTGGTCAAACTTTATCTGTGTTCTTCACTCATATGACAGGAAGGAGTGAACATTCTATAGTTTTCTCCTTCTTGTTTTGTGTGTCTCTCCATAGGTTTAGTGATCTGCAAATGTTTGCCGAACTTTACTGGATTCACATACTCCATTTCAACTAGCCAGCCCCTGATATTTTCCCCTAAACCCTAGATTTCCTCTCTAAATTTCCTCTCTGATCCCTACTGCTCACGAAATAATCGGTGGGTAGAATAACCTAAAGCCATTGATGTAAGCTCACTTTTAATTTGTTCTTTTTTATATTTATTTTTTTTTTATTGACAGGTAGAAGTAAGATCTCACAATTAATTTGATGTTCCTTCTTTAGTTTAAAAACCCATGCAGATTTTATATTCTACTACCCCATATATCTGTGTTTATCTCATGCAAACAATGTCTTAAGTCACTTTCCAGCTAATTTCACATGCTCTTCCCATGTTTAAGGGAAACTGACACTCCAGGAAGATGTACCAAGTTTACCTCCAGGGTTCCTCTTTCCCTTCTCACTACTTCATACCTTCAGGGGGAACATAAGGCTCAGTATAAGAAGTAAGACTTTTTGTTGGCACCCCAAAATTTGACAATTGTGGTTTTGATCCTTCTCAAAAGACTCTGAGAAAACTCATGATGCATAGAACTCTTTAATTTTGCTGGGGCTTGAATTAGACTTGTAAGCATGAGTTTCTAGGCTAGTGGTTGGAAGAAAGTCCCAGAGACAGGAGAGGAGGCTGGCTAGGAGCCCAGCATCTACATCTGAACTTAGCTTCTTTATTCTCTGGTTGTCTCAACGGTTGGGTAAGGGACATTCAAGAAGGTCAAAGGCCTACTGTATATCCTCCCAGCCTTTTCTCTGGCCCTCACATATGATAAATACCTCTCAGCTCAGACATTTGGTTTACACTGCAACGCTATCATTAGATTCATGTCACTCCCCTATTTGAAACCTGCAATGACTTCCCATCACACCGAGAATGAATCACCCTACGTGCTCTGGCTCCTGCTGCCTCCCTGGCTTTATTCCTTGGCATTCTCTCCTCTGATCACCAGACTTTAGCCACCTTGGCCTCGCTGATGTTCTTGGAACAGGCCAGGAGGCACTTTCCCTGGCCACCTTCTCAGAGAAAAAGCATCTTTAACACTTTTTACCCTAATATTCTTTTGTATAGCACTTATATCTCTCTGACTTCATATAAGGTATTTAATACTTATGTGTTTATTGGTGCCCCCCCTCAACTTAGCATGTAAGCTCCACAGAGACAGGAATCTTGTCTCTGCCGCACGAGTATTTAGTGAGTATCTGTTACATGAATGGAAGCTACGTGAATCCCCACTGAAGGCGAGATCAAAAGGCCACACAGAAACACCCCGAGAACCAACCTGAAGCATTGTAGCAATACGTGTCATACTGGGAGTTTTCGGAAGGGAGGACGTACACCCCTGTGTTGTTGGCCGCGCAGATGGAGTTGGGGTGGATCCGGGGGATCACCACATGCCCTTCTATAAAGCCATACCTGCAAAAGACAAACAAGAGGCTACCAATCGACCTGCAAGGTGTGATGGGAATTTCGTAACAGCCCATCGAATGACATTTAACGCAGGGCACGGCTTCCTTTAATTCACCCCCAGGGATGTTAGAGGTTTCAACAGCTGAGTTATGTGAAATCCAAGAATAACAGCACACACACAGAGTGAAAGAGATCAACAAGGCCGATAGAGACAAAGTGATTTCACTTAGAGACCTATGAAGAGCTTCTCTAAAAAAAAAAAAAAAAAAAAAAAAAAAAAAAAATTCACAAAATAAAAAATTAGCATCAAATAAAATTTGTGGTCAGCAGGTCAGAATTGGTTTGAAGAAGCAAAAGAAGGAAACCTGAGTCGCAGAAGAGAGAAGTTATGATGTGAGATTCAAGCTGGCTCTCAATTACCTTCATACTTTCCCAAAAATACATAAAATGGCCGGCTCCCGTGGATAGGAAGAAGTGGTTCTTCATTTCCGTGCACAAATTTCAGACCTGCCTCACTTACCATCCTCCACTCTTCGCTCCTGGCCTCACCTTTCCTGCAAGCCCCTCTCTCCATACTCTACGATTCTGAACACGAAGTCTTGTTCATGTGCCAAGTACACAGCACATTCTGTCTCCCGAGATTCCCAGGCATAATTCTATTGCCAGCAGAAATAAATTAACTGTCTTTACAATGGGAATAATAGCAATTAAGTAAACAGATAGCAATGGCTCATTTAGCCCAGGAACTTTCCAGAAGCAGCATAGCCAGAGAAATGCTTAGCTCTTCTCCCCCAACCAAAGAGTTTCTGGGAGCTGGCTACAGCCGGAGACCCCTTCAGAGACGCCATAGAGAGCCCTGCCTCTGCTAGCAGCATCTAGGTGGCCAAAAACTCAATTATCACACAATTTTTTCCGAATAGAAAATGTCTCGAAAAAAATGAGATGTGGGCTGAGAAAATACCGTGTGCAAGGGAAGCGGTGATGCAGAGGGAAGACAGAGAAGAAGAAGCTAAAACCTAGCAGGTTTTTGAAAATGCAATGCTGGCTGAAATGTATGGCACAGATCCTTTCCATCTTTCCTGCCAGGGCCAAGAGCACAGAGTGCAGTGCCCTGCAAGACCCACAGAAACACAGAGTCTGAAGTTTCTCAGCACATAGAAATTATTATGTCTGTGTTGCAATGGCAGCTCGCATGACTAATTCCTCATCTGGATGGACAGACTGGTTTCCCCAAAGTCTCCTTACCTTGGTAGGGGAAGGGGCACAATTAAATGTTAATAAATTTTCTTATATCTGAAGGTTGCCACCAGTCAGGGTGGGGCAGACAAAAGAGAGTAGCTGCTAAGGTTTTTATCCCAGTCTAGGAGACTCTGCCATCTGTCCTATAGCAGATCTCTGATTCATAGCTACCTAAGCAAAATTATGGAAATGAGTTTTGCAACACTTAATACCAGTTATGGTGAAATGATAGATTTCATTGGCACGGGTTTTCCTTTTCCTTTTCTAAATAACCCCCTTGGTGGGCCTACTCCCCACCCCATTCCCACCGCATCGTGTTGACAAGGATGTAGAACACTGACATTCTAGAACCTAACGTGCTCCCTTTGTAAGTTATTACTGAGTTTTCACCACCTCATGTTGCCTGCCAGTTTTGTGTCAAGGGATAGGTGAGTTGGGGATATTAAAATGGATGAGTGTGTGTGCAGCCTGAGTAAGTTACTATTCACAGGGAGGAAAGAAACATTCAGCAAATGCACGTAGCATACTTCCCTTTTCTTCTGCTCTTAGTCCCTTGGGCTTGCTCATTAAAAGTTTGGGCTCAGACTAAGCAGGACTGGAGCCCTGACTCCTCCAAGGGCAAGTTGTGTGGCCCAGGGCCAGCTTCAGAACTTCTCTACGCCTCCATTGCTTCATCCATAAAGTGGAGTGATAATATCGACGCATAGTCAGTTTGAGGATTAAGTGGGGGCAGGTGGCCAGTGGGAAGCAGGGCTCCCAGCATTTAAGTGCTTCATGATCGACTGGCCAGTGGCAGCAATGAGATCTCCCCTGGTTCTCAGCCTATGAGACCATCTCTGTATGTTGCAAGTACGTCTTCTTTACATTTCACAATCAATATTCAGCTTACTAAATCTACTTTCTTAAGCTAGTGGCCTAGTCAGGGCCATAGTTAAACAATTAGCTTTGGGAATAGAATACATGGATTTGCTAATTGCCCTTCCTTCACTGCAGCCTCCAGCGCAGGTTCAGTAGCTTCCAGAGCTTTCTCCCATTCTCTCGTCTACGTGCATCTGCTCTTTGTTTCAGGACAGTGCTGCTCAATAGAACTTTCTACAATGATAGAGATGTTCCATAATCTGTGGCATCCAATATAGTAGCCCCTTGCCACTGGAGGCTAATTGAAACATAGCTGGTGCTAGTGAAGAACTAACGTTTTAATTTCAGTAATTTTAATTAATGTAAGTATAAGTCACCACACGTGGCTGGCGGCTACCATGTCAGGCAGTGTAAATTTTAGATGAAAGGTTTTCCTTTTCCCTTTCCGCAAAGAAGGCTCATCCACCACTCATAATGCGGGTGCATGGCTCTGACCAATCCTGGGGGACAGATGCATTTACCTTACATGTCATGGTTTCCATAAAGAGTTCTGCGGCTTGACTTTTCAAAAGCAGTCTGCGTGCATTGTAGGGAAAGGGGAAACATGTCGCCTAAGGCCACTGCAGAAGCACAGAGGGGCAGCTGCAGGCTGGGTTGGAGACGACCAGACCTCTTCTACTGCAAGCACACCAAACCCAAAACACTTCACAGCTTGCTCTTTACGTGCACCACTGACCTTGGGGCCATTGGAAATTCAAAAAATAAGGCCTTTCCCTGTTAGGATTTTCCTGGAACCAAACAGTTTGAAGAAAGTTCTATGGAGCACTGAGATGTCTCTCAAGCCTCCTAATAATAGTGTATCTTAATATAATCTATCTTAATAACTTTCATGGCTTTTTATTTACTTTCTCAAATCAGACCAACACAGAAGAGAAACTCTCCCCCCCAAAAAAAAAGAGAGAGAGAGAGAGTGTGTGTGTTGTTTGAAAATCCTTCTTTGAGCCACGTCTTGCAGGGCCAAGACTCTACCAGCCACGTATTTATTTTAAACACTGTTATTTGGTTTACATTTTCTTGTGGTTCCGACAATGATCCTGCAGCTTCTTCAAAGCCAGGAGAGTGCTGTGGAAGCACATTAGACAGGAGGATTCCAACCAATATGACCCTTAATGGCTTCCTCTGGGCTGCCCCTACTATGACTCATAAAGGCATCGTTAGCCGACTTTAAATTCCGGTTGTCCTATAGGTTCCAGATTGACTTGGTGGAACCAAGTCAATAGGTGGGGACGACTCTTTTGGCAATTATCCATTCAGCTGTCAGGGAGGAGCCTTCTGACTCTAACTCCCCTGCCCCCCTGGGGCCAGGCCACCAGCTTTCCCCAGTGCCCAGGTGCTGGTCCCTTACCTGCAGGTCTCAAAGCCAATGTTCAGGGCTTGCTCCATCTGCTCCATGGTGGGCAGGGTGCTGTTGAAAGCCGTGCAGAGGTCAGCTGCCTCCGTCCTAGAGATGCTGTAGCGACCATTCTTCTCCACGTGGAATACACCCGAGTAGCGGCAGGTGATATTTAAATCTGTGGGATGAAACAGAAATGTTAAGATTCTTTTGCATAAATAATTTGGAAGCAGTAAGAAGTTCATTTTAGGATATACCCCTTAAAAAGCCAAATACAATTCTCAACTGGCCAGAGGCTTCAAAATTCACTCCAGCATTGCAAAGCACCATTACATTAAACTCAAATCAGAGATAAGACACGTCAAAGTAGCATCACTCTTACATTCTGTCCATCGGCTGCTCTACAACAAGGTTTCAAAAGACATGATTTACTTCTGACTATTAAAATAATACAAACTCATGGAAAACGTACAACATTCAGGGAAGTAGTAAAGGAAAACAGGTCCACCACTAAGAAAACTACAGCAAACATTTTGCTGTGTCTTCTTCCAGATTTTTTATTGAATATACACATGCTCATGCACACACACATACATGATATATATTACACCACATATGATATATATACACACATATGTGTGCATGGTTGAAATAGTACTAATTCTACAGTTCCAGTGTTGGGAGTCTTTTTTCCACTTTAATCCTGTATTACAAGCGTTTTCCACAATCAAGTGCTGTTGCTCCCTGGCTTATCACCTCTGATAGCATTTGGTTGCCCCAGAATAAATTTCCTTATCATGGCCAAGACCAACATGATCTGGCTCCTGTATCCCTCTCTGTGTCAAAGTAGCTGGCTCTACTCTAAGCACAAAGTTTTCCTTCAATCCCCTCAGGCACTCTGAGCACCTTTTCATCTTCGGACATTTGTGTCTGTCTGCCTTCCCCTCTGTCACGTGAGTGGTTCATTTTTGTCATTCAGAATTTCAACTCCACATCACCTCACCTTAGAGTCCTTCCCTAAACACCCTTATTCAACCCCTATCCTCTCCCTCTCCTCATCTGTCTTCACGACAATGTGTTCATCTGTTTGTGCACATGGTTATTGTCCGTCTCTCCTTCCTGTAATAAAAATCCAAGAAAGTCAGGTCCTTCTACTCATTTGCAGCTGTTTCTCCAACACTTGGTCAGTGCCCAACAGAGAGTAGATGTTCAAAGCGTTTACCGAATAAATAAATGACTCATTGAAATTTCCTCAAAAACACACTTTTAATATATTGACAAGATCCAAGACCTGCTATTTCTCCCAAGAGTTAATGGCATTAAAAAGTGAAACCAACCATTATCAACTGGGTAAAGAATTCTACAAGGTCTGTTGTGAGCTTTGTAGATATGAATCTAAAATCTCAATAGGAAGCTGGAAATCATCCTGTTCTACTTGATCCTGTGTAACAATCTCAAAAGACTTCAAAGACCTTAACTGAAAATTCATTCTTCTTCTGGAACCATATTATTCTGTTTGCACTTGAGTAAACTCCGCACAAAAAGGTTAAGTCATTGAGACTGTCCTGGTGAAGTTTGATTCCTCCTGAGCACTTCCTTGGGTCTCAGTGACAATCCTTATCCAAGGAGACAGGCTGACACCGTCCCTGGGCAATGGCCCAGGTGCCAGGCCAGGCACTACTCTGTGGAATCCGACCTAAGTGGCTTTAACCCAGACTCCATCTCTTCCTTGCACAGGTCCAAAGGTGTCTGAGAAGATTCTGCTTATTTGGCAATGAGAAAATTAGGAAGTGAGTTGCCCAAGGAAGTGAGTGTTTCTGTCTAGAACCTACTGCCTCCTTCCTGGATGTCAGTTGCTTTGTTCTACTTATCTGAGTTGACAGAAATAAGAGAGGAGACCTATTACTGCAGCATCCGTGGGTACCCGGCACCTCTGAGGTTCTGAGTTGCATCATCATCACCAGAACCCTGAGAAGTGAGTTTTATGTATTAAATATGTACGTACTATCTATAGGTGAAGAAACTGAAGGTCAGAAAAATTAAACGACTTCCCAAAGCTCGTAAGTGGCAGAAATGGAAATCCATCTGTTTAACACCAAAACCCATGGTTTGAACCACTTTGCCACGTGCCCAGGGATTCTTTCCTATCATTAGCACAACTGGAGAAAGAAGAGAGGCACACCTAAACAACTGTTAAATAATGACGAAGACAGGGTCATTTTCGGTGAACGATACAGACAACAACTGCTTTCTCCTTCCTGAGGAGGAAGCAGGTTTCAACCACTAGAAAACAGTGTCTGACACATGCAAACCTAGATAAGAGAACTGTTAAAATTCTATATTTTCTGAAAATAGTAAAAGGAAATAAGAAACAGAGCTTGCAAAGACATAAGCCAATGTCAATTATTTTTATTTTCTTTTGTTTGCATCCTTAACTCATGGGTGCTTAAAAAACTGCAAATATCAGAACTAGGTGAAATGGAGAAAACATGTTTTTGTGCAGCTAATTCTTTTTCCGGTCTAATGGCATCCTCTTAAGACACTCACGCAACACTAGGCCGACAAAGCACCAGGAGCACACGGGGAGGGGAAATGTTCAAGGCCCTTTTGCAACACTATTTGTTTTTACTGACATTTTCAGCCTGGGCCTCAGTTGGCCAATCTCACAAAGGGAAACTGTCACTCTGCATGACAGCCCTTTCTGGGCCTCTTCCTTGTCCAGCACATGAAAGAAAAATAAAGCATCCCAATCAGCTGCTTGGAGGTGAGGCTGATCAGGGAGACTTCAGTTGGACACCAGGAGTGGCAAACTGCTGGCCTGCGCCCAGCCCAGGTGCTTGCTGTCACTCAGGTTAAAAATAAAGTCCGAGGCATGGACGGTGGTTGCAAGCTAAATGGCAGTTTTTTTCTTATGAAAATCATTTCTAGCTTGCCACCTGGAAGACAGAACATGCAAATGCAAGAGGAACCAATGCAGGCTGAGACTTTTGAGTAAAATCCCTAGAGTTTCATGTGCAGCAGGTAACATAATAACTCCATTGCCAATACATGCATGCACTGTGTGAGTGTGTCCACATGTGTGTACGTACGTGAGGGCGTGGGTTTGTGTGTGCACATGGTCAGCCAATATGGGATGAAACAGATAAACCCAGCCTTCAGCCTTCCTGGGCTTGGAGGCTTCAACAGGGCTTGACACATTGTAGGTATCTGCAAAGGACTGCTAAATGAATGAAGAAATTCTACGCAAAGTAAAAATCCCACAGCTTACATTTATCTTCATCTTATGAAAAAGTCCAGCTCATAGCCCTGATGGACTTCAGTCATAGAGGAATTGCAACGATGGTAACAAATTCTTCATTTCAGGACAACTATCCTATGAGAGTGTTCATAATCCCCCTCCTCTGGGCCCCTCTTGCTTTAAAGGGGACTAAAGGCTTCAGGGCTGTGTATCATTTAAACCTTGATAATACATGAAGACATTCCATCAGGTTTCCTTAACCTGCTAATTTGTGCAAACCCAAATTATTACCCCAGAGGGTATTACTAATACCAAAGCAATAACAGTGGCTAATACTTATTGTGTACTTACAATGAGGATGGCAGGCACTCTTTTAAGCACTTTAGAAGCATGAACTCATTTTATCCTTAAAACAAACCTCTGAGGGGTAATATTATTATCCCCATTTTCCAGATACAGAAACTAAGGCACAGAGAGGGGGAGAAAAAAAGAAACAGCTCTGGCTTCACAGAGATGGTAATGGCAGAGCCAGGACTCAAACCCAACCAGTCCTGGCGCCAGGAGCCCACAGGCTTAAATAATTTTAACCCCAGTTTGGGTCCCTTTTTTTGACCTCTCAGCATCCCCAAGGCATCGCCGCCAGTACTCCCAAGGTCTGGGTAGAGAGAGGTAAGGGTGAGCGTGAGCAGCCACAGACCACAGAGCACTGCTGGACAGACCGCCGAGGTGCCTGGCAATGGCGCTGGCCGCGCCACAAACCACTGCAGAGAGGCAGGGCTCCTCTGTTTGCGTGTCTCTCCCCAGAACCAGAGACCTCTGTGAGTCAGGATTCACTTTGACTCAGGAGGCCAATATAAATGGCTGATTGCCTCTCTCAAACAAGCCCTGCCAACTGGAAATAAATCAAGAATGTTTTCCGTTGAGTCCCCTGGTCTCCAATAAATCTCCCGTATCATGTAATGAGTAAACTGTCCCAAGTCCCTCCCTCTGAGAGACAGAATGGGCTCAACGGAAAACAGTGACTGTCTGGGGCCAGTTTTGGCTCCGGAGAGGAAAATGCCAGGGAGAAATGCCACTGGACCTGCAGGGGCTCATCGCCACCGGGCTCAGAGTCTAGGAACCTCACCTGCCCCTGTGGGAAGAGGTCTGCTGGGGAGCTGTCAGGACGGCTAGGAGAAGGGGCCTCCAAGAGTTTCTTTTGTCTATCTATAAAGCCAGTCTCCAGCACCAAAGTTATATGAAGGTCCGTCGTTCAGTCTGGTTTAGACCTGCCCAAACCTGGTTCAAATCCTGCCCTGCCACTCACTCCAGGTTAGACAACTAGTTAGTCACTTAACCTCTCTGAGAGTCAGCCTCCTCCTTGATGGGCTGACAAGGCCAACCTGTCAGGGCTGGTGGGACTCTGAGATGAGATAAGATACGTCAAACACTTGATACGGTGCTTGACAGTTAATAATTACAGCCAATGGGTACTGCATATTCATTAGGCGCCTTATATACATCAGCTCATTTAATTCTCCTAGAAATGCTGTCAGGTAGGCGCTATTGGCAAACCCATTGTAGAGACAAGGAAACTGAGGCATAGAATGGTGAAGTAATTTGCCCAAAGTCATGCAAGTGGGAGACTCTGGGTCCTAACCTCTGTGCTATGCTGCCGACTATGCAGGCTCCTGGTTACATTCGTTCTCACTTGGACAAACCATAGTTGACCCATCCCACCATTATCTTATCTATACTTTTCCCTAAACCTTGGGTCAAGGAAAATAGAGCTGTCTAATAAAATTGCTCAGCACATTTCAAAACTTTGCCTACACTGTAGAGCCTTAAAAGGATAGCTTTTTGGTCCACAATAGCCATATTTCAAGCAATATAAAATCACATCTTCTCCTAGGGAGAAAGCATTGCATAATCTTCACAAAGTCACCATTCTCTATGTCTTC